CCTTTTTTTACCCTCTGGTAAACGTTCACATAACTGTGGAAAATCACCATTTTTAATGGGAAAACTCACTATTTTCAATAGCTATGTTAAATTACCAGAGGGTAACCAACAACCTTCTGTTTCCAGTTCCAATCCCATTTTGTCACACGTTGTTCCAGAGATGCTCCCAGCTCCCACATGGGCATGTTCAATCGACTGTATCATATTCGTTGTGGCTACCAATTTTGACCCATGGAAAACAAGTTGATACCCATCTTAAGGTAGGCCTTTGATATAAACCATCACAGTTCAAATCATTTTATATCTGTACAGCGGCCATTTAATGGTAGGCCATTTCTTTTTTGTATCAGTCATCCTATTCATTTTACATCCATTGTCAGCCGTAATCATTGAATTTAGATCCAATTTTGGGGCATAACAACTTTCAGCTGGTTGGTGGTTTGGAACATTTGGATTATTTTTCCATTCAGTTGGGAATGTCATCATCCCAACTGACGAACTCCATCATTTTTCAGGGGGGTAGGTATACCACCAGATTATTATGTCCCATCAATTAACCATATAGTAACCATCATCATTAACCATTATTAACCAGGTATATTAACCACATATTAACCAACATTAACAGTATATTAACCCATTAAAACCTCCATTTATGGTTGGAATTCACCATCATTAACCATTAAACATATTAACCAATCAGGGTTCTCCAACCACGTTGGTGAAACTCAGCAGGAGCAAGCCGATCGTGCCACCCAATGTGTTGGTGGATGGGATTTGCATGGGTGGTGCAGGCCGCTTGATCTGGACGACAGAGCCACTGTATTTAATACGGAAAATGGTTACCCTCTGGTAAACTAACATAGCTATGGAAAATCACAGTTTTTAATGGGAAAATTCACTCTAAAAATTCCATTTTCAATAGCTATGTTAAATTACCAGAGGGTAAAAGCACCAGTTGATATGGTGATATGGTGATATGGTGATATCAATATCAATATCAATCACCCAGATTCACATTGATTGATACTGGTGATTGATATTGATGATTGATATTGATATCACCATATATGATGATTGAGATTGATTGACATTGATTGACCATCAACTCATATATCTAAATCATCAAGGGAGGTGGGAAATTGTGGGAATGGGGAAACAGGGGTCATGAGTCATAAGTTGTCCCTGGGGATTATCAGTGAGAACAGTGTTTCCACTTTAATCCTGCTTAAATATGTTATAAGTGATCATAAGCCATGTTTTTTTTTCCCCTCTAAATCTTAATTGAACACATTTCCTAAGAGGAGAGCTTCAGCCACAGGCCATTGGTTCTGACAGCAGTATATCTCATACTTCTCAAATAAAGAGATTATGTATGTATATATATATATACATTATTATATTATATTGTATATTATATTATCTCTATACTATAATATATAATATATAATATATAAAATATAATATATAATATATACTATATGATATATAATATACTATATAATATAATATATAATATATGATACTATATAATATAATATATAATATAATATATAATATATGATATAATATATAATATATAATATATAATATATAATACATAATACATAATATATAATATATAATATATAATATATGATATATAATATATAATATATAATATATAATATATATCATAGAATATATAATATATAATATACAGTATATAATATATAATATATAATATATAATATGTAATATATAATATGTAATATATAATATGTAATATATGAAATATAAAATATAATATATAAAATAAAATATATAATATATACTATATACTATGATATATGATATATACTATATGACATATGATATATAATATTTAATATATAACATATAATATATAATACAATATATTATATTATACAAAACATATGATATATAATATGTAATATATAATATGTAATATATAATATGTAATATATAATATATAACATATAAGACATAATATATAATATATAACATATAATATATAGTATATTATATGATATATATTATATGTTATATATTATATGTTATATATTATTTATACTATATATAGTATATACTATATATAATAGAATATGATATATACAGATTATATATCATATTACATTATATATTGCATATTATATAAGTATATTATAAAAGTATATATGAGGACACAAATTCATCATCACGCATATAATTATCACACTATTTATCTCCATTCCATTTCTTGATGCGAAGATAAACATATGAGCCTTCATCAGAATGGCTAAAATCATATATTATGCCTACAAAGATTGCATATGTAGGTAACCAGTGATTAGTGATTAGTGATTAGTGATGATGATGATGATCATCATCATTATTATTACTATTATTATTATGCCTACTGGATCCTACTGGAATATCTATGGCCATAGATCCGACTCGCCGTGCCAGGTGCAGGTAAACCCTACACGCGGCATGCCTTGGTAAAGGACTCGGCATCCTTTTTGGGGGGAGATTTAAGAATGGATTAATCACGTTTAATCTATAGCTTATTTGATCATAAACCATTGATCAATGGTTTAACATGGTTTAATCCAAGGGTATAACCACTACACATGCATATATATATGTATCTGGTTGGTGATTATTTGACAACCACAGGGCATTTAACCATTAGTAACTGGGTTTCTTACGCCGAACATTGGGACATGAATAAACTTTTATCTTTCTTTGGGGAAGATCTTCTTGTTCCAGTGATGAATATCGGAAGATCGAAGACACTCAGGAGATGCTGTTGTTGAATCCCAAGTATGAGGCAATCATCACTGAGCAGGAATGAGAAGGGGTATACAAACAAATCATGAACAGTTGAAAGAGAGTGGATGGATCCAAGTAGTTGTCAGGCATGAGACTTAGCCACACCAAATAATCTCCCCGTGCTGAAAAGTCGCTTGGAACACCAGGAATTGGGCTACTCCTGGAAATATTTGCATTCTTGGCTCCTGACGGTCAATGAAGCAGCAATTTACTCCGTTGAAAGATGTTTAAAGCTATTGCCAGGAAAAAATAGGGATGCTACAGGGATACGGCTAGCACATAGTGAAGAGATGGCCAAGGAATTTCAAGGAATCATGCAACTTAAATCAATTCAGATCCATTTGTTCATCCGAAATTTCTCGGGACCCTCCTTCCAGCGCTGCTAAGCCTGCAGGACTTTCGGAAGGCGCTAATCGGGGGTCCACTTGGGACCGTAGCTACCCTAGTGACCAGGGGAAGATAGAAAGATATGGAGGGCTATTTTTTTGTTTTGTTTCTTTCCCGTTTTGGGCCTTTTTTTGGATTTCTGTTTCCCTGCTTCTTTGCTTTTCTGCTTTTCCCTGCTTTTTTGTTTTTATAGTTCTTTGCTTCTCTCCTTCTCCGCTTTTCTGCTTTTCCCTGCTTTTCTGCTTTTCCAGCTTCTCTGCTTACATGCTTTTCTGCTTCTCTGCTTTTCCCTATTTTTTTTGTTTCTCATACTGCAGATAATCCTTAAGAAACATCATGTAAATGAACCCTAAATCAACAATAAATAAACCCCACACCAACCAAAGAAACACTAAAGCAACTCTAAGTGAACCCTAAACACTCCCTAAATAAATTTGAAGCTAATCCTAAATAAATCTTACACCAGCCCTAAATAAATTTGAAACTAATCCTAAATAAACTTTACACCAGCCCTAAATAGATCTTAAACCAAACCTAAATAAATCTTAAACCAACGCTAAACACACCTGAAACCAATCCTGAATAGGTCCTACACCAACTCTAGATAGATCCTAAACCAAGCCTGGATAAACCCTAAACACACCCTAAACCAGCCCCAAACCACGCCTAAATAAACCGTAAACGAACCCTAAATATATTTTAAACCAGGCCTAAATAGATCCTAAACCAACCCTCAACAAACCTTAAACCAACCCTAAATAGGCCCTAAACCAACCATAAATAGGTCTTAAACCAAGCCTAAATAAAACCCAAACAAACCCTAAAAAAATCCTAAACTAACCCTTTAAAAGAAGCTAAATAAAGCCTAACTCTAAAACCAACCCTTAAAAAACATAAAAAGAAACAAAACCCCTAAACTAACCCCACAACCAACCCTAAATGACTAGTTGCAAACTACCATGTTACATGAACAGTTCGAACTCAAAAATGCTGCAAATACCGCTGAAACAGCAGCTTCCAGCTCCAAGATGTTCCACCAACATGTTGCAAATTCGATGGAAAATGAGAGGTTTCAACTTCAAAATGTTGCAAAGACAGTTGCAATGGTAGCTTCCAGCTCCGAAATGCTGCAAATAGCAAGGAAAACGTGCAGAAAAAACGGATCCAAAACACAATCCCGAAACGGACAAAGAATAATTTCCAAAACAATTCTGGACCCACATATTCGAAGCATTGAAAAATGTCTTACTTTGCTGTGCACGGTCTTCCCGTGCCTTTGGTGCAGGTGGCGGACCGCTCCAAAGTGGATTTTCCCATGACTGGGCTCTTTGCTGATCAGGTACAGCTCGTTTCGCGGGACCAGCTGCATTTCTTCAAGTTTTCAATAAAAATGATACGATTCCGTTGATTCTAGTAGCAACAAGTATAATATATATATATAATTACCTATATACAGTACACATAATAATAAATATATCTATATACATAATGATATATGTTTATATTACATATATATATATATAGGGTTCTTAACAGGGGGGATCCCCAAAACCATGGGTTTCAATACTAAAACATGGTCTAATTTTGGATGATTTGGAGTACCCCCATTTAAGGAAGAACCTCATTGTGTATATATATATATACACATAAATACTGACATTGAGGATCAGTTCCTGGTTTAAATGGACAACTTGTAGCAAGGTGGTCTCACGAAAATAGAACATCAACTGGCAGTTGAGTGGTGAAGTTTGGCTACCAGTTTCACCAGTTTCACCAGTTTCTTGTGACACCTCATTGCCATGAATCACTACACCGCCCTGCAGGCACCCATAGGCCTTTATGCGCTCTTTGATGGGCAGTCCCCTGGCTGGAACTCAGCATCATCTTTCCAAGGATGGCCTGAACATGGGGATGACCTCCATTTTCAGACACATATGTCACATATCATATATTTTATCATATTATGTTCCCTGAGATTTTCATATGTTTCTCGTATTTATCATGTTCTTGGTTTCATAGAATTGGATGATGGGAAAATTTTACATGAAAGCCCTATATTTGATGGTAAAAACCATGGTTTCCTGTAGATTTTCCCTAAAACCAACCCAATGATCTTGGTTGTATCCCTATCTTTCAGAAGGCTTGGCAGATTGGTCGTCCGCTGTGAAGTTAGGTCCTCTGCCTCCGAAGTCCCTGGGCATCTAGCTGCTGAGCCCGGGAACCCGGGGAACCCGGGGAACCCGGCCATGCCATGCTGGGATGTCTACTGGGCTACGTTGGGACGTGCCGGTGGTTTATACCCGGCCTGGTAAACATACAAAAAGCGACATGGAACATGGCCCAGTCGAAATAGTGGATTTACCCCACGAATAGCATGGTGGATCTTTCCATAGTTACGTAAACGTTTACCAGAGGGTACATGTTGAACTTACATGTTGTTACATGTTTATACAAGTCAAAGAAGACATTAACCGATTAACCACCCACTTTCAGTGATTTGATGATTGGCTTTTCCATAGTGCTTTCGGCATGCAAAATTAGCGCTCCACGGGCCAAGGTACTGCGCCAAAAACTTCCATAAGAAGGTTCCGGCGCATGGCGGCTGGCGGCTGGCGTTTTCATCCCCAACTTTGTGACGATTCTTGGAGACCTGAACCCAGACCGCCCAGAGCCCGGCAAGTCCGCCAGGTTATGGACAATATCTCAAGTCTACCTCCAAACTGCACCAGTGAAACCTATGTGAAGGTGCGGCGCACAAAAAGGGACCGGACAAACTGGAGAGCGTTGGTGACGAAAACGTGGTTTGGTTTCGGGGCCTTATGACTCTGCACTTCAGATTGTGATGTGTGTGGGGTAGATACGGGTAGATGCAGAAACTTCGGTTTTTTTTCACATTTTTTAACCATGTAAGTTGACTTTCCAGCAGGAATCTTTCCGGATTCCCAGAACTCAGTGGGTTTTTCACATGGAGATGTCCCAAGAACTTGGTTCCAACATGTTCCAACCAGGCAGCATTGGTGAAAAGTTTCGAGGATCTTGACAAGGCGCGGTTTCTGCAGGGCAACCTTGGTGGTTGTGCTGGACAGTTTTTTTTTCTCCCTGGTGATTAATAGTGATTAATAGTTGTTAATAATGATTAATAGTGGCTAAACATGTGATTAATGAGATTAATGGTGATTAACTAGGAATTGTGGTTCTCAGTTTGGCTCTTGCTTCCGGGAAGTGGAGGATAACCATACATTCAGGACGGAATCGCTTTGACCTTTGGAAGTTTTCAATTGTTAGCAGATGATGCCGACGTGATGTTGCTTCACCAGCCCGTTGAAGTATGCCGCAGATAATATGCTATAATATGTTATAATTATGATCACCATCAACATTAGCATTACCCTCTGGTAATTTACGTAGCTATGGAAAATGGACCATTTATAGATGATTTACCTATTAAAAATGGTGATTTACCATAGTTTGTATGTTTACCAGAGGGCAACTTTGCAACTTTTTGACGCAGTTTTCATCACCATTCTCCAGCAACAGTTCATCGCTTGTTAAGAACAGGGCGCCCAGCGACTCGCGAATGGATTGGAGTTCGAACGGACTTCTTTCGGAAAAAAACATCGATGTGTAAATAATAAACATGTAAAACTAGATTGACTAAACTAAACAAATGTTGACAACACATATATGGGTATGGGTCAATGCCTATAAAAATACCATTTTTAGTGGGATGAACATCCATAAATCCCAGCTATTTTGATGTGAACTACAGGGGTACAAGGTTTTGACACACTGCCATATGTTGACTATATAGATATCACAAATAAACATATTATTGACTAAAGATGTAAGATCAAATAGACTTTGTTTTTGACATCTTTAGACCACAGATATCAGACTATACATATTATACTATACATATTAGCCTACAACATATCATCTATATCATCCAGAGATATCTATTTCTATCATCTATACATAGATCCTTTTTATTATGACGACAGCTCGGATAGACAGCCAGATATCTCCCAAGTTCGCCGCAGGAGCTGATAGAAACGCAGCCAGACATCCAGGCGTGAAAAAAAGGGCCACGAGTTTGCTGAAAAATCCATGGGGATTTCATGGGGAGATACAGGGTATATCATGGGTATATCATGGGTATATCATGGGTATTTCATATGATATTCATGGGGATATACCTATTCATATTCTATATAACAGTCCGTTCATGGGTATATCATAGGTATAGAATTGGAAAATCCGAATGGAACATCCTCTATTTTTACCTAACTAATCTGTCACAGTTTGCGAACTTGGAAACGAAACCCAGGTTTCATCATCATCAAAAGTAACGGGGGGGCACCCCGGGGCGCTACCTTGAAAATGGTGGAAAAACAGCGGCTCCCACCAGATGCCAACGATGGTCGTAGTCCGGATGCTATTTTGATGATGTTCCAGTTTTTCACCAGCTTATCGAAACACTTTTTGGACATTTTTTCGGCCAAAAACCACTGAATATGGGTTTGATCAAGCCATGGGTTTTTCAACACTGATTGAATATGATACCATAGGGTCCCCCTCAATCTACCCTCTGGTAATTTAACATAGCTATTGAACATGGCCATAGAAATAGTGGATTTTCCCATGAAAGATGATGATTTTCCAATATTTTCCATAGCTATGTTAGTTTACCAGAGGGTATTGATCATATTCCCTATGAACAACTAACAGGACGGCTGTGGAGCTGCCGTAGCTTTGCTGGTGGGTGCGGAGTCCAAGGGCCGCAGATCCAAGGGGTTTTTTACGCGTTCCATGGGAAGCAAACAACATGTCTTTGCGGATTTTTACCAGCAAAGATCTACTGTAGATGTTTGATGTTTGTTTTTTGGGAAAACTGATGTTTATTTCATGTTTTTACACATCAACACCTTGATTTTTGATTGTTTTTCAGCTTAGTTGCCACCAACAACAAATGGACAGTATGTTTAACAATGAACAATCATGGTTTTTACATGTTTTTACCAACCCAAAGCTTTATTCTTGACGTTTTGGCGGATACTTTCACCACAAATGAAGAGTGACTTTGTCTAACCATTAAACATGCATGAGGGTTTCTAACCTGCTCATTGTACCAACAACATCCAATAACAGATTTGGGTTCCACCGACATTCAAGTGAGACTGCCATATGGATTAGCACACATGTAGATGGGCTATGGCTATGCTTGCTGAAGAGTTGCCTTCTTGGACGTTTTGTCGCAGTTCAGGAGTTCTTGGCTTAGAGGGTTTCCGATCAGTAGAGGGTTGGATATGGCTATGGGTCAATACCTATAAAAATACAATTTTTAGGGGGATGAACATCCATAAATCCCAGCTATGACTTGGGGTTCACGGCACGGTACCAGGGTTTTGACCCATCCCCATATGGTTTCCAAAGCCACTTGTGAAGTCAGATGAAGCAGACCCTCTGGTCAAACATGGCAAATCCCCGAAGCCATGGAGACTTTTCATGGGAAAATCATCGAAAAAAGTGGGAGTGTCCATTGCCATGTTTTTTGACTGGCTGGTAATATACTTTCAGTGGGATGATTCTCCACAACTGCTTGCTGATTTCGAACATGTTTTTTTTGAAAAAAATCCAATGGGAGATGACGATTCCTTGTTTTTGACTAAACCCCTTAGGTTTCAGTACTAAAATAGTCTAATCTTGAATGATTGGTGGCATCCCTATTTTTAGGAAATACCGTTTCTCAGCATCAAGAACCATGAGTTAGCTAGCCATCTGAACCCACAATTGCAGTAACCATGTAAGGCTTTTGACTTGTGAACCATATATGGCTCAAAACCCCGGTACCCTTCTGTTGAAACATCAAAACAGCTGGTAAATGGATGTTAATCCCCCCAAACATGGTATTTCCTAAGTAACTTGATCCATCCCCATACTTACAACATATTACAACCACTTTTTCTCCATATAAGCTCCGTGAATTATTTGAATGTATCTATCATCTACAATTAACATCATCACTTAAATTTGGCACATGAGATACCCTCTGGTAATTTGTTACATAGCTATTGTTTCAATGACCCAGTCGAAATAGTGGATTTTCCCATAATCATGGTGGATCTTTCCATAGCACGGCGCCAGGCGACATGCTCTTCACAGCGGTGCTGGGCCTCTGCGACGGCCTTCTCTATGAGGAGCGCGGCACCGTTTTTTTTTTCGGAACCGACCCGCCATCAATAGTGAGTTTTCCCATGAAAAATGGTGATTTTCCATAGTTTTTTGTATGTTTACCAGAGGGTAGTCATGGTGGATGGTTTGCGAAATTCGAACTATTTCTGGGTGTCCAGCCAGGTTTGATGGCCTTTAAAATGCCTCACATTTCCCGGAACCAACATGTGATGTTGGGGTTTGGGCGGCAATCCTCCGAAGATTTGCGCCACACAAGAGCCTTGAATTTGGAAAACAACACATCCCCAAGTCATGAATTGGGAAAAACATGGAAAAACATTGGAAATCCCACACAAGATCATCTTTCTGCCCCCGAAACATTGGAAAAACCATGGAGCCTCAAAAGATGTGGATCGTGACCATGGAAAGGTTGGGGTCCTGTTGTTGGCAGCGCGACGCGTGATAGCGTGAATCGTGCAAGCTAGTTAATGTGGTAAAACCCTTTAGTAAGCCATCCCCAAAATCACCATAGATATCCATAAATAGCTTGTACAGCCCGTCCCCAAATGGTAGATTTGTTCTTGGGTTTACCGCATGAATTATACTTTTTTTTTTCCTGGTCATTGATAGATGCCCCCACTCGTAATGTGATGAGGTCACGGGACCCTAATACAAATGCCATGGGGTGCCACAGAAGTGAGTGAAATGGTACCAGCGGCGTTATTTGATACCACCGATTGGGATGATCCATAGCAGTTTTTACGAAGCCTTCCAACTTCGATGCGAGAAATCGTTCTGGAAAGGCTCGACTGTACAGCAAAAAACCAGGTGTTCCTGCAAGCATCTGCAAGCTTTCTAAGCCAGGCCGAGAATTTCCAATCCGAATTTCTGCGCTGATTGAACTTTTTTTCCTGTTGGAAATTCTCTGCCAGGTAGACGGACAAGTCAAACCTCTGGGAAGGACGCAGGTGCTGGAACTGGAGACATGAACATGATGATGAGGATGATGATGATGATGATGATGATGATCAATTGGGCATTACTAGGTGCTTCTCATCGAGCAAAAAGCACGTTTAGAAAAGTTTAGAAGGGCGAATCTATGCGAATCTATGCTTGGGCGAGTCACTGCTCCAGCATGCCATCTTGGTATTTCTTATTTTCCCTCACTGAACATGGGCTAATTATCCTCAATGTTTTTTCTTGGATAGATTCAGATATGTACTGTACATATCTCATCATATTTCTATTTTTACATATTATGTGTATATATATATGTATACATGTATATAAACACATATATACACTGATTCCAGTTTTTTTTCTTCAGTGGGGTTGCAACGCCAGGGCCGACCGCACTTGGAAGAGAAGTCCCGGCTGTGGGACACTGAGTGGTGCAGCATCCCAAATAATCGTAGGGGCAACATGAACAGCTGGAGTTCCAGCAACAAGAATGGAATTCACTGGTTGATTTAAGAGAGACTTCGGCGGAAACCATGGTTTTATCGGCCACATATTGTGGGTTTCCGGGGTTTCCTGTATCCCTTGAACAAAGTCGGAGACGAGTGAAGGTGTGGATGAGAATGATCGATGAGGTGGTGGCTCAATGACTGGAAAAACGAGCACATTGCAACATGGATATCTAAGTTGGCTGAAAACAATTAGGGCGACTGGAAAATTGTAGCTGAACCATGTGCATCTCTCTGGTGCTTTGGCATGGCCAATCCTTAATGAAAGTACAGGACATAATATGAGGGAAAGATCAAGTGTGGTAGGTCATAGATCCCCTTCCGTGGCTCTACTTTTTTTTTCCCCGGCAATCGCCCTAAAACTATCAATTTGTTGATGCCAAAAACCTATACTATTGCCTCAAAAAATGAAATGGGTGGTTCCACTGTACCTTCATTCTCCCGGGTAATTTCGCACAAAAACACTATAAACTCTTCATAAATGATAAGGAGTACAGAGAATCATCCCAAAGTGGCCTGAAATATGCTGTATTGGGATTGATTCTAAAAGATAAATCATCCATAGACAGGGGAATATCACAGCCAGGTCAAAAACACCATCTATGAAAATGCTGTGTATCTAACATTTTCCCCCTGGGTCACGAACACTAGTTAGGAATTATTCAGATGTCACGAAACTATGAAACTCTTCCAAGAATCTCTTCCCTTAGGGAAAAACACATCTAATGTTCTTTGGAAATCCAATGACACCTAACCATAGTTGTAGACTTCCCCGCATTTTGGATAAAGTTCATTTCACCACACCATTTGGGTTTGATTGTGTGAAACCATACCGAAGTAGTACGCCACCAAAATATAGACATCATTTTAGTATGATTTTACTATACCCCATAGTTATAGTTACAGTAATTCGTCATACTTCACCACAGTAATTCATCCCACTGTCAATTATTGATCATTTACTATATCATGCTGGGTTTACCATCATACTGTCAGGTGGGTTACTAGAACAACCATAGTTTTACTCTGAAATAGTTCTAGTATGTTCTAGTTCCATGATATATCCAATAGATACTGTGGATGGTTGCGAAATCCTGCACCACCTTAGATGCTTGAAAGCCTATAAATACTGGGATGTTTACCACCTATCAACTGGTGATTCGGAGTTCGCAACCATCCACAGTATTTCATGATATCCTCAGGATTTAACATACAAAAAGCTATTGAAAATGGAGTTTTCCGATAGAAATAGTGAGTTTTCCCATAGAAATAGTGAGTTTTCCCAAAAAAAATGTGATTTTCCACCGTAATTCCAACGAAGTTGCCATGGAAAACCATCATTCCCAGGCAACGCGCCGGCGTCGCGGTGGTGGGCACCGGTCCCGGCAGTCAGGTGCGGGGGAACGTTTTACAAACGGGTGGTGAAGTGCTTGGAGAATGCTGAAATTTTGGTGGTTTTTCGAATAGAAACTCATCTAACTAGTTGGATCATGTTGTATACATATAGCATATACTGTATATATAGTATATAACATATATATATATATATGTATATATATATATGTATATATATATGTATATATATATGTATATATATACACATATATATGTATATATATATGGGTGTATATGTGTACATATGTAATATTCTATGTGCATCTATTCCAATTCCAATTGTTAACTGAGGTATCACCTTGAAACTGCAAAGAATTCTGGTGAACTCCGATGGCGGACATGGTGGTCGTTTACCCATCGAACTTTGAACAATTTCAGAAGCAAAAACGGCTAGTATGTATATATAATATATAGTTATTGTAATATATAGTTATAGTTATAGTTATAGTTATAGTTATAATTATTGTTGTGTATATATATAGTTATAGATATAGTTATAGTTACACTTACAGTTATAGTTATATAGTTATATAGTTGTATAGTTATATAGTTATATAGTTATAGTTATAGTCATATATATATAGTTATAGTTTTAGGTATAGTTATAGTTGTACATATATAGTTATAGTTCTAGTTCTAGTTATGATATGTATATATATATAACTATATATATGTCTAACAATGCATGATACTGAGTGATACTGACTGGTAGTTTCAGATACGTTTGTATGTTCCACAAAGCGTTGTGGATACGCTCATAGAAAAGATCGTTCTGGCAGTTTTGCGAAGTGACGAGGATCGCCCCCAAGCAAAAGGATTGAGGGCTTTTCCAACAAACCGGGCAGTCAGTGGTCCATGTTTGTCAGAAAATGATAATGACTTGATAAGAAAGGGGTTCATTTTTCCCAAACTCAGACGACGCAAGGTGGTTCGCGCCCCTGAGTTAAATTTGGTGGTTTATTTTCACCCCATATGTCCTAGTGATATATTTGTCATGTTTACCAACTTTGCTGACGAACTGGGGCACCACCCTTCCAGTTCATCATGGAGGTTGCCATAGTTCATCATATGAGTTGCCAACTTTGCCAACATAAATCAACTATAAATCGATATAAGTCCCCATTCTTGCTGGCTATGGTACCATTTTTGCTGGTTAAAGCTTTACTCACCACTGAGGGTTCTCTAGTTTGGAGCACCCAAACCAATCCGCGCCTCAGATACAAACAGCCGACGGGCAGATGGCTTCGGTCACGCGGGGCATGGGCGACGTGGTCGGGGAGACCCAGGGCGCAGCAAAGGGCGAGCGGTCAGCGGTCGATATTTCAACGAACATTTGGGTGATTTGACCATCAAAAATGAAGGTATTGATGGGATAATTGTTGATGGCGATATCATGGGATCTATAACAAACTTGATATGAAATTTGGCTTGTTTTAGGGGACAACCCCCCAAATCATGGCTAACATTCCCGATTAACATTGCTATTTTGAGGATACCCCCATTTCATACAAACTCAAAGAGGAACTTGACAGCAGAGAACTGCTTGGTGGTTTCAAACATGTTTTTTTGTCGCCTCAAACTTTGGCATGATGATGATACTAACCGATATATTCTCAATATTTATTGATATTATGATTACTTACTATTGTTGTTGATGATGTTGATGTTGATGTTGATGTTGTTGTTGTTGATGATGATGATGATGATCCAAAACAACCACTACTTTCGAGGGGGATTGAAGCCAGATACCCATCTGGACAATTAATGTGGTAAACCCTATACTTAATAAATCCCAATCTATTCAGGTTCATAAAACCCCCCTTGGAGCTAGGTATGTTTGCTGATTTGTGGCTTACCACATTCGCGCAGAAACTGACAATCACTGGCTGGTGAAACACGGGCGTAAGTGCTTCAGAAGTGGAGATGTCAGCGGATATTTTCCCACACAATGGAATCATTACCAATGATCGCGGGGCATTTATATAACTAACAGAACTGGAGCTTAGTTGGGCAATCAGTCAGTTCTTGCTGGAAAATCATGGAAAATCACCCAGTAAGACTATATAAGATATTCATTGACAGGCGACGTTGTTGGTAAAATGGTGATTTTCCAGCGATGTGAGTTTCGCAAAGGGTTCACCGCCATGACGTGAGCAGGGCCTGGATGTACCAACCTGGACGAAGTCCTATGTCTTTGGGAACACAGAAAATGAAAAGGAACTACCCTCCGGTAATCCAGTATGGCTGGAAAATCCTTCATAAATGGAGGTTCTATTGGGAAATCAACTATAAATGGTGGATTTTCCATGTAGCTGATTACCGGAGGGTAAAGATTTAGATCATCGCTTGGGGGTTTGTTTTAATGGACCCGACAACCCTGCTATCAAAGTGGGTTCCCATCCCCATATTCGATACCAAGCATTACCAAGCCATGATCAACATAATTCCAGAGTTGACCGTAAGCCATGTGGAAGAGGGTAACCCCCCAATGGTTTCAACTTGGTTCCCATTTTTGGAGCCCTGGTTCCTTCCCATTTTACCAAGCAGGGATCAACATCCCCGACGAAACTTGCCCAGTGAACGATGATGAACGATGATTGACCGAGGCGTGGAAGAAAACGCCGAACGGCGTGCCTGTGGCGAAGCTCAGTGGTTGTCCGCTTTTGGTTTTTCCACGCCAAAAATCGGGTTGAATCCGATGAATGTGACACCAAAAACGCGTCGCAAGAGTCAACGCGTCGCTACCGGTATGGTGACTGAAGACTTCTCCTCTCATTTTCCAAAGGTCGGAAAAGTCTTCATGAACATGGCCGATTTTCCGAAAAAAAACCACGGTGGATGGTTGCGAAATCCGAATCACCAGTTGATAGGTGGTTTATTCCATGATTTATAGGGTTTCAACATGTTTCAACCGTCCAAAATTGGGGGATTTATCGGATTTCGCAACCATCCACAGTAGTTCATCATTAGCCATTATTAAGCATTATTAATCAATATTAATCAGTATTAACAAACATTAACCATATCATTAACCATCAGAAACCATCATTAACCAATGATTTTCCCATCATTACCCAATGATTCTGGGGAAAATCGCCGGTGACCAGCCAGGTCTTGTCGTGTATCCCGGAGATTCAGTCCACCAAGCTATCGTGGGCCGAGAAGTGGCGTGGCGTTAAGAAGTTGGAGGTTTTTGGGTTCCTGGGAGATTTTATAGGGTAGCACGGGGATTTTAATACATATGTAATATGTATATACACATTATATTAATGTATATTATATTATGTTGTATTATATTATATTATATTATATTATTATATTATATTATATTGTATTATATTATATTATATTATATTAATTTAATATTATATTATATATTATATTATATTATATATTATATTATATTGTATTATATTAATTTAGTATTATATTATATTATATATTATATTATATTATATTATATATTATATTATATTATATATTATATTGTATTATATTATATTATATTATATATTATATTATATATTATATTATATTATATTATAGTATATTATATTATATTATATTATATATTATATTATATAATATGATTATATTATATTATACTATATATTATATTATATTATATATTATATTATTAATACATGTGTATATGCAAGAAAAAACATATATGATATAATACATGTATAACACATTTGTAAGATTTTATAACCAACTTGATATGATGTTTGGCAATGTTTGGGTGTATTTGAACATAGGTTACACCTCCAATATATAGCAATCTTAATTGGAAAAGTGATGATAAACCACTGGATTTTTGGGTATCCAAATTTTAGACAAAACCCTAATAAAAGTCGAGCGGCAACAACTGGGGAGGTAAGCTCAAGAGGTGGTAATCTTGACATGGGAGTTACTAAATTTGCGATTTACTCGAAGATGACTTTCAACTTCCAGGGACTTTGGATGCACTTCCGCATGGACCATATTTTCCATGGATGCACTGCATTTCCAGAGCGGGCCAAAATGGACTGAGGCAAAAATTCTTTCTGCTCAATAGCAGGCCCGTAGCAGAGGTGCAGCTGGGGCATTGGTCGGTCCCAGTTTCCTTCAGCCATGGCTATGGAATGATATAGTTGATTAAACATGTAGCCCTAAACCACCCGAAATAGATTGCAGTTTCCAAACCTGCAATGTTTGATGTGGGGAGCCTTCAACCACTGATGAAATCACGATGCAACCAGGTACACCGCTAATTATGTCTTGTTGTTTGGTTGCTTATGTTTTGTGTGAGTCAAAGGCCAGAAACATCCGATAGTTGAAGGCAAACACATGAAACGTGAGAAGTCACCGCCTCCCAATAGGAAGCTGGAACTTCTGAAAGCTAGTCGGTGAATGTCATTGGCAACAAGTCAAAATTACTTTCTTCGAGTGACCCCCCTGAAACACTATTCTGACATAGTTTCTGACATACAATCTGGAAGTATATATATGGCATATTTATTCTGACATTCTTTCTGGCATGTACTGTGGCATTCGATCTGACATTCTATCTGGCATCTATTCTGACATACTTTCTGGCATATATTCTGACATTTTTTTTTTGGCATTTTATCTGCCATCTATTCTGACATTCTATCTGGCATCTTTTCAGGCATTCATTCTGGCATATATTACATTATGACATTCTCTCTGACATTCTTTCTGGCATTCTATCTGGCATCTATTCTGACGTTCTTTCTGGCATTCTATTTGACATTCTCTCTGGCGTCTGGCTGAGGTCCGACAGTGCCCACTGAGATCTGGCACCCGCGGTTGAGCTGGCGCTCGCAGTTGAGGAGCGGAGGGACGAGGAGAAGAGGAGAAGAGGAGAAGAGAAGAGGAGAAGAGGAGAAGAGGAGAAGAGGAGAAGAGGAGAAGAGGAGAAGAGGAGAAGAGGAGAAGAGGAGAAGAGGAGAAGAGGAGAAGAGGGAGAGGACGAGGAGGAAGCAACTCTGATAAAATCTTGAGACCCTCACGTGGCAGGTGGGAAAAACAGAGTCATGAAGCATACCCGATTTACATCCATTACCCAACTTTGCCGGAAATGGAGGTTTCCAAAAATGTACCCCAAAATCATTAATTTTAAATCATTTTGACAGGAATCCGCATTATAAACCGTCCTTTTTGGGGTACCTCCATTTTAGGAACCCCCCTAATGGTGATCTTTGGGTCCAACCCTGCACACTTGGAGACCTGCCTTTGCACACCCCAAGCCACCTGCTTGTTGTTTTGCACGGGTTTCCGCATTTTTTTGACATTTGACACAACTGAGATGATCATAATATCATATAAAATCATATAAAATCAATTATATGGCTGGTTGTTTTTTGGTTAAGATTCCAGTTTATCACATGGTTGGGATTCGCTCTACTCTTTTTGGTCTTGCAAACATCATCAAAAATATACACATGCATGATATGTCAGCCCCGGAATAAACTACCCCCTTAACTGCGGGGGTCCCATCTTAATCGAAGAGGAACTCACTTCGAGGATATATTACAGCACATATAACCCCTCACGGAATCAGAGTCAATTTAATCAAAGATTGACATCATATCAGTGCCGAACCGAAGCAGCTGGCCTAAAAACCCGCCAGTCATCTCAAGTTGTAGGCTGAAACAGGCCCACTTTGATAGGTGATGTATCGCCAAACAAGCATGGCTGAAATGTTGGTACCAAGTTTGCCATTTCTAGTCTTCGCATTCCAATCATGGGGTCATTTTGAGCGCCAAATATGCATGGTCCTCTCCTAATGATGAGGTTCCCCAAGAAAAACATGTCTGATGACATCCCCAGGTCTGGAATCCTTGATTTCTCATGGTGATATCATAGTCGTCCTTTCCGATGGAAGAGGGTTTGGGTCTGGGTTGGCCCCCCAATGAAGAACCAAAAGGTAAGTGGTGATGCATGTTACACCAAATCACGAAAGGTAGCTCCAGAGGGGCTACCTTGAGTTTTACTTTACGAAGTAAAGGGGAGGGCGGCCAGCCCCGTTACCTGATTCTTCAGGAGATTGCTAGTCATTTTAGTAACCCCCCCCCCTCCACACCTCCCACGCACCCTAAGAGCAGACTCAAAACATTGTAATTTACAGTATTTTTGTTCTTTTCGGATCAAGAAACCACATTTTGCTACATGGTGAAACCTCCGTAAATACCAGTGTTTTTGCTAGGTGCTGGCCAAAAAACACTGTAAATACCGTGCTTTTTACTACCAGAGGCAAAAAACATCGTAAATACCGTGGTTTTGGGCTTCCGACCCGCCAAAAACATCGGTATTTACGGTGTTTTTTGCTCCGAGAGTTGCAAAAACACGCGAAAACACCACCGATTTGACGATTTTCGGCCACTACGGAACCGAGCAAAAACGCTGCAGGGGTAACACCAACACCGACAAGAACAACACCAACAGCAACAGCAACAACAACGACGACGACAACAACAACAACAACAACACCAACACACAACGCACAACGCACAACGCACAAAGCACAACGCACAACGCACAACGCACATCACACAACACACAAAACACGCAAAACACACACAACACACACAACACACACACAACACACAACACACAACACACACAACACACACACACACACAACACACATACAACACACACACACAACACACACACAACACACAACACACGCAACACACGCAACACACACAACACACACACAACACACACAACACACACAACACACACAATACACACACAATACACACACAACACACACACAACACACAACAACACACAACAACACATAACAACACACCACAACGCACAACAACACACCACAACACACAACAACACACAACAACCACAACAACCACAACAACCACAACAACCACAACAACTACAACAACAACGACAATGACAACAATAACAACACACCACACCACACACACAACACACAACACCACACACACACACACCCACTCAAACACCCACACACAACACCACACAACACACAACACACAACAACACACAACAACACACAACAACACACAACAACACACAAACACACACAACAACACACACACAACAACACACAACAACACACAACAACACACAACAACACACAACAACACACACACAACAACAACACACAACAACACACAACAACACACAACAACACACAACAACACACAACAACACACAACAACACACAACAACACACAACAACACACACAACACACAACAACACACAACAACACACAACAACACACAACAACACACACAACACACAACAACACACAACAACACACACAACACACAACAACACACAACAACACACAACAACACACAACAACACACAACAACACACAACAACACACAACAACACACAACAACAACAACACACAACAACAACAGCACAACAACAACAACAACCCACACACAACAACACCACAAACCCAACACACAACAACCACACACCAACAAAACTCACACAACAACACACATCAGCATCACAACAGCAAACACGCAGACAACAACAACAACAACAACCAACACTAACAACACTAACAACACCAGAAACACTACCAACACCAACAACACCAACAACACCAATACCAACAACACCAACAACACCAACACCATCAGCAGCACCAACACCACCAACACCACAACCACCACCAACCCTAACCACATCGCCGAAGCCTTTCAGTGGCTTTTACCAGACTCCCCTTCATATTTTTGGAAAGAAAATGGCCGCGTCGCTTTTACCAGAATCCACTTTATGTTTTTTTCCCTGCCCTTTCCCCTTCATTTTTTCTTCGGTTCCTTTCTTGCTTACCTACCTTTCGTGTTCCCCCTCTCAAGTTCACCTCTTCATTCCGGACATAACAGATTCCCATGTATTGACTCATGTTACCCTCTTTTTGAACCACATACCCCCTGGTTGTTCAACGCAGCTATGGAACTCACCATTTTCAATAGGTAAATCATCATAAATCATCTATAAATGGGCAATTTTCAATAGCAAACTGTTAAACAACCAAAGGGTAGTGTCTATCTTTTCCAAGATGTTCCCAAATCCACCGCTCTGTGCCGGTACCCCAAGTTCTGGGTCATGGCTAGGCTTTTGCAGAGAAGGAACTCGTTGTGTCTTGGATCGGTTTCTGTCTGATGGCTGTTGTAAAATCCAGCCACTTTGAATGATCAAACAGATTGAACTTTTTTTTCTGTTTGGGGGTTACTGTACTATACGATACAAATGGACATGTTTTTCTGGAGGATTTTCAGTGTAGCTGGGACACGAACAACAGACAAGATGACTGGGAAAGTTTGCCTGCAAAAATATCCAGTGGCTCCAGATATGCTGATGCCTCTAGCGGTTTGTACCACCAGAGTTGATGGCAAATTCCACGAGCCAGGAACGTTCTGGCATTCCATCACACCAGCTCTTTTCTTGGTGTCTCTCAGATGTTCCCTAAGTGAGCCAAATGTCCTGCAGTGTCACAGTTTCCATCATTTTTGTCGCTATGTACTCCAACCTGGAATGGGTAGCTGTGACACACTGCCTTGGCGGAGATAGTTTCAAGCACCAAAGTGTGGCTGCCGTGCAGTGTCTCAAGCTAAACGTGGTGACACGGTAGCATTTTGGGTGGTGCATATTCACGGAAAACATCGCAAACTGATGCAACCTGTGTCAAATTTAGGTATTTTTAGGTTCATCACGAGAAATTGTCTCCATTTGCAGCGCCCCAAATGGCTGGCCTGATCGTGGCGCTGGGCGAGACTGTGTGGCTTGGTCTCCACGGTTTTTCCAGGCAACTTTTTCACCAGGTTTTAATTCGGGGTGCTCACAGCGGCGCATTCTCCAAAAGCGTTGCTATGCCAGATGCACAACAGTCGAGATGAGGCCTTGAAAACATTTGAAAACCTCCTGAATTTCCTAAATCCGCAGGTTCATCATCATTTTCCCAGTCTATTGTCGATTTGGGTCATGTCAATTCCCCTTTGTCCCCGGCTGAGGCAGTTTGCAATTCCCGAGAAAGACGAGTTGGCGGCTTGGACAGCGGCCGTTCTGGGGATCCCTCTGGATGCACCCAGCTGATTTGGGATCCCATGGCAGTGGGTGAAACGTGCATGTTTTTTTTAACGGGATATCACTATTTATGTGCTGTTTGGGATCAAAAAAACATATTTAATCTGCACTTATACCCTATTGGATTTTTGCTTGCATATATAGTTATTTCAACTCGTGGGTAAGTACGTCCCCATTGCCTGGTCATTCCAGCATGTTTCGCTGGTAACAAGTCTATATTTCTTCTGGAAAGATTTCCACCCTTTGAAAACACACTAACTTGGAACAGTCTCCATGCTTGCTGCTAAAATCTCAAGTTTTTTTGTGGTCACCAACCTTCATCTTTATGCCAAAAAGTCGTCATGTTTGCGCTTTTCCTCCTTATGGATGCTGGTGAACTGTTTTTTCCGGAACAAAAGTCAGTTTTTTTTTGAGACATGGGTGAAAGATGGGGAAAACTATCCATAAAAATCGGACAAAATCCATGAAAACTAGAAAAGTCCATAACCATGGGAAAAAAATCACTCAAACATCCCATGATTCAATTTTGCGGGTGAAGGTTTCATCCTTCTTCATGCCATTGCCAAGGATCCGGATCCCCGAACTCCAGAGCCCCCCGCTCTCGATGGCCGGGACAAGTCGCCTAGAAACTCTGTGAACACAGGCTTCGATGTCACAGGGGCCCAGCCTGTCCTGGTAATGTTGGAAAACCCTGAATCGCTGGATTTTACCATGATTTTGCCATGAAGAAATGGTGTGTTTTTTTTGGATGTTCAGGATTTTTTCATGGTGATTTCATGTTGATTTTCTCAAATATAACCCAATACCATAAGCCTACCATGTAGTAGGAATCCCCATAAAAATGGTGACGCTAGGGGATGATTTATGGCGGTTTAGCATCTTAAATTTCATGCCAGGGACAAATTGAACACCAGGACATGATTCACTGATTGGTGGTTTGGAACATTTTTTATTTTCCATAATATATGGGATAATCCTTCCCATTGACTAATATTTTTCAGAGGGGTTGAAACCACCAACCAGTTCAGTCATGGGGGTCTTCTGTAAACTCTACAGAGTTAAAAGGTGGTAAAAGCTTGAAATCTTCGAATGAGCTACCGACCGTACTTGGTAGTATTGTAGTGATGGAATGTATTGACATGTCATATCTGATCCTTAACAACCTTCCTGAAAAGGTGTCCTTCTTTTGGCTGACCCAAAGCCATCCATATTTTTTGGGGGCTACTTCTGAGCCATACCTGCTAAGCTGTGCGTTTCGAAAAGGAGCTGGTTTTTACCATCCCGAATTTGAGGAAATAATCTGAGCCATAGCCATACGACAGAACACGAACATAGCTACCAACAAACCATCATTTTTTTGGGATTTTGCTCATCAAAATAAGGAGTTTCACCAACCAACGCCCGTTGACTACTCACGAAATTGCTATGTTACCAGCAACAACGGGATTATAACCCCGTTCAGGGTATATGCAATGAAACTGGTTGGTGCGTTGAGAAACAACCTTTATACTATGTATTTTTCGGTTCCATCACCAACCAGTCATTCTTCACTAGCCAACTGGACCCCTGGACCTGCCGAGTCTGAAAATGGGGTGAACAGCCACCATTTATGGTGTGAAAAATAAAGAACAACCACTTGATTTTTTTTGGGGAGTCTTTTCCATCATCCATCCATTTTTTTTTGTCCGAAAGGAGGCAAGATCGTGGGAGTTTGGGGAAGTCGGGGGGAAACGGATGATCCTGGGAGTTTGGGGGGAAAAACTCCTAATTTTCAGGCGAGCCGAAGATGGTTTAACTTAGGGTCAATGATTTTTGCAGCAGAACTTGTGGCCAGATTTGGAGGATCCAATCCAACACATTCCCATGGTGACCTTTTTTGCACATCTCCAAGATGAATTTGACATCCATAACTGTCATAACTTTATAAATCCGTATATTCAACATTCTTCAACACATTCATGCCTTAGATGCATGTGGATGACATGCATGGGTATGTATGAATTATCTATGATTTCCCCTAACAGTATCCGCAATTACATCCCTTGTTCTATATGCGTCACTTATGATTAGCTTGTTATCAGACTATAGTGATGTTTCATATATATATATATATACACAGTATATACACCATTTAAGAAGCACACCAATATGTCTCCCATAGTAGTCCCCATAATCCTATGTGGAGGTGATGGCGGTAGAAACCAGCGCCTGACCTCCAATGGTCGCGCAGGCGGGTTTCAATGGGGTACCCCAGTAGCTGGATGGTTTAGTTCATGGAAAATCCTTTGAACAAGTTGATGATAACTGGGGGTATCCCTATTTTAGGAATCCACCTCATAGACTCATAGAGATCTTGTCCAGAGACCTTGTAACAGAGACCTTGGCGGGGAGTTCTGCTGACTTGGACCGTTTTGTTGGGCAGCATGGTGCATCTTTGAACAGATTCGTTGGTGGTTCACCTAACCAATGTCATTTGGGTGGTAGAAATATCTCGCGAAATATTCAGACCTTGATGAACATTCCACTATTGGCCGGGCTTTTCTCGCATGATTCTGGAATGGTTGTGGGATGATTGGCATTATTGTTGCTGTATATTAATCCATATATGAATCCTACATAATAATAGGATATAATAGGTAAATGTATATTAATCCATATTAATCCTACATAATAATAGGTAAATCCATGGTAAATCCCAGAAAATCACTGTCATTTGGCATGATTTTAAGGGTGTTTCTTGGTTTCCGCCAGGGATTTCTCCAGCTTTTTTGTCGTTGGTGGATCAGCTGGTGCATCAGCACAAGATCGAAGTGCTGCCCGGCGACAAAAAAAACAGGGGTATGATAAATGGCTATGGATCAATACCTATGAAAATACAATTTTTAGTGGGTTATTCACATCCACATCCATAAATCCCAGCTATTTTGATGTGAACTACAGGGGTACAAGGTTTTGACACACTGCCATATATGATAATATATCAAAATATATCATGGATAAAAATATATCAAAATATATCATGGATAAATATTCGAATTGTGGAAAGTATATGTCAGAAAAGGTCCCAGATGCGAATCTTATTGGGGTCAAAACCACTGCTCACCTGAGACTTTTCTGGGGAGGAGAGTTTTGACACGAAGTCAAATCTATCAAAATCCAACCCTCCCAAGGGTGATCTCCTCCAATAATGGATGGTTAAGCAACCCTTAATGGTTGTCTTTTGGTGCTGAAATGGAGGTTTACTAAGTCATGGGAGTACCCCCAGTTATCATCCATTTTTTGGGGTTTTTGAATGAACCAAACCATCCAGCGATATTTCGACTATCCCCAGGACGTAGGAAAGCTCCAAATCTGTGTGACATGAAATTTTCGTCCCGAAGGCCCTGAAACAGAATGAGTTGCGTCTTCCTAGGACCAGAAGCATGGATCCTTTAAGTATGGGACGATATATAGATTATCTTTGATTTTTAGAATGCATATCACGAGATTATGTATATATATATATACATATGCATTAAAGATACATACAATATGCATATCTTGCCCGCAAAGGCAATGAAAACTATGTCACACTTCCGTCAGCTTCCGAGCCTCAGAAATTGAATGCAATATATCGGTGGAATACCAACAGTATGGGTTGAACAATCAATATTATAACTCTTTATCCATTGAGTATGATACTTGAATCTGACATCCCGCTGCAAACTAGCTTGAAAAAGGGACAAAACACACAGGCACACCCAGATATAAATGAATATATGTATATGTACATATGTATATAGATACATACAAATTATATACACATTATGTATGTAGAAGGCTAGGCGTGCATAAATGATACTTGATACCGGGACACCCGCGAACCTTTCAGGTTGGTGACGTGCCAGAAGGTATAGGCCAATTCGAGTTTGTCCTGTCACAGCCCTCAAAAGTCAAGCACACATGAAAAACCTTGCACAGGTTTCTCTGAACATTGAGTATCCCAACATCCAATGGTGAAACATCATCAGTTTCCCCATAGACATTGCCATTTTGGAGGTAACCCATTTTCAGACACGCCCAACATCTTCAACTGAGTGCAATGGGGAGTCTTCCCCAAAGGGGACGTCATATTTTGCAGTGACCTGGAGTTGTCTCCGGTTGATTAGGGGCTTCTACTCCTTCGTTTTTTTTGGGAGTATGATCCAGAACGGGAAGCCCGTGCGTTCGGTTTTTTTTCTTTTGCCTTGGGTAATTGGAAAGCCCCTCGGTTGTGACGCGGAAATTTCCCTCGGATGTGACGCGGACGCGTTTCCTCGGATATGACGCGTGCTCTCGGTTGTGACGCGAGGTGTGTTTTTGCGTGGCAGGCGTGGCACTTGGTGCCATGGATGGTCCCCTTGTGTGGCACGTGTTGTGCATGGTGACATCGACTTCCGATATATGGAAAAATAAAATAGGTTCCAAACCACCAACCAGATGAGGGCTTAAAGTAAAGCCAACAACGTGCAAAGTTCAGCAGTAACATCAGTAACAGTGGTGGTTTCACCCAACGGACCCGCACAAATTAAGGTGGGTCTCACTACTAAATCGCATTGCAGCCAAGCTAGAATCACATCGTCACCATTTTGGAGGCAACTTCTTCTGAGATACTAATGATATGTTTTGGTTTGATCATAAGCACTTACAAGTTCTAGATATTCCCTGGGTTTGCCATTCTTTGAAAGATATGACTAATATCGATTCATCACATTGAGCCTCAGTTGACTGGCTATAAATTGATCACGCCAATCACTTTTGTTACTTGAACTACATTTTTGTCAGTATTCCGGTCTCTCACTCTCTCTCTCTTGTTATGCTGGCTTCAAGTTTTCCAATTCTGAAAATATCACGTGAGGAGAGCAGGGCTCTGTCAGGGGAACCATGATGAACGTGCAGTGCTTGTGTGATGAGGGTGCAGTGCTTGTGTGATGAGGTGAGGGTGCAGTGCTTGTGTGATGCGGGTACATGAACGGTATTGTCCCACTCCACCCCACCCCACCCCAAAACCCTAAAAGGCTACTGTGTCGCAGATGAGGGGAAAATGGTGTCGCAACGGAGGGAAAATTGAGGCGTTTTGGTGTCACATCTGAGGGAGATTTGGTGTCACAACTGAGGGGCTTACCTGGGTAATTTGTTCGGCAAGTTTCAGATCTCCTCAGTTGCGGTACATGTGCACGATTCTCCCAAGAGACAAAAGGCCCATTGCCAGCCATGTTCGATTTTGAGGGTATATCCCCATGATGGTTAGCTATCACAATGTCTATTGTTGGCTACTCAAAGTTCGTTTCTGGGTTGAATCCCTGTCTATGTTGATTCAACAATGAATATGATAACATGTAACATATATATATATATGATACATATATACATATATATATAATTATATACATTAAACATGAGCCAACCACCACATTTATGAGGTTAAGTTCCCCAAGCCATTTTTTGCTGGCAACATCCAGCATCTTCGAGCGTTCGGCTGAGGGCCACATCTACTCATCGGACTCATCTGGTGAAGAGCTTTGAATTGCCCAGTGCGGCCACCACGGAACCTGGGGCAACGGGTGCTGGGATAGGAGTTGGTGCTGGTAGCCCCCAGCCTGCTTAGCACAGCCATTTTCGGGCTTGTGAAGTTTAGGAGGTATGGTTCCAAGTTCAGGTGGTTTGAGATATGTTCGATAGAACAACTGCTTAGGATAATGATCCTCAATGACAGCCGTGCTCTTGGGATGGCTGGTTCAATCAGCCACTAGATGACGATGGCTCTAACCCAGATAACCCAGTGATCTATCGGATTTCCTAAAGTCTCTTATCTATCTATCTGTCTATCTATCTACCTACCTACCTATCTATCTATCTATCTACCTATCTATCTATCTATCTATCTGTCTACCTATCTATCTATGCTATCCAATCCAATCCAATCCTATGCTATGCTATCTGAATCTATCCTAATCTATCCTAATCTATCCTATATACCCTATCTACCCTATCTATCCTATCTATCCTATCTATCCTATCTATCCTGTCTATCCTATCTATCCTATCTATCCTGTCTTTCCTATGTATCCTATCTATCCTATCTTTCCTATCTATCGTATCTATCTTATCTATCTGATCTATCTGATCTATCTGATCTATCTTATCTATCTTGTCTATCTTATCTATCTATCTATCTTTCTTTCTTTCTTTCTTTCTTTCTTATCTCTATCTATCTTATCTTGTCTCATCCAATCGTATTTAATCTTATCTTATCATTTTTTCTATCTTATCTACATTATGTATCTATCTATCTACCTATTTATCTACCTATCTACCTACCTACCGACCTACCTACCTATATATCTTCCTTTCTTTCTTATCAACCTGATTTATCTATCTATCTTTATTATCTCTCTATCTCTGTTATCTATCTATCTCTATTATCATATATCTATCTCTATTACCAGTTATTAATCAATCTCTATTATCATGTACCTATCTCATTATCATATATATATATGTTCCATCTGTCTGCATTATTCATCTATCTATATTATTCATCTATCAATATTATACATCTATCAATAATATACACCTATCCATGTTATCCACCTATCTATATTATCCACCTACCCATATTACGCACATATCTATATTCTCCACCTATCTATATTGTCTATCTATAAAACTATCTATCTACCTATCTACCTACCTACCTATCTATCTATCTATCTATCTATCTATCTATCTATCTATCTATCTATCTAATCTATCTATATGATCTATATGATCTATATGATCTATATGATCTATATGATCTATATTATCTATATTCTATATTATCTATATTATCTATATTATCTGTATTGTCTATATTATCTATATTATCTATATTATTTAAACTATCTATAGCTATCTATAGCTATCTATAGCTATCTATTTTATCTATAGTATCTATATTATCTATATTACCTATATTATCTTTTTTTTCTATAGTATCTATATTATCTATATTATCTATATTATCTATATTATCTATATTATCTATATTATCTATATTATATATATATTATATATATATTGTCTATATTATCTATCTTATCTATCTTTTCTATAGTATCTATATTATCTATATTTTCTATATTATCTATATTATCTATATTATCTATATTATCTATATTATCTATATTATCTATACTATCTGTATTATCTATATTATCTATATTATCTATATTCTATATTATCTATATTATCTATATTATCTGTATTGTCTATATTATCTATATTACCTATATTATTTAAACTATCTATAGCTATCTATAGCTATCTATAGCTATCTATTTTATCTATAGTATCTATATTATCTATATTACCTATATTATCTATCTTTTCTATAGTATCTATATTATCTACATTATCTATATTATCTATATTATCTATATTATCTATATTATCTATATTACCTATATTATCTATATTATCTATATTATATATTATCTATATTATCTATATTATCTATATTATCTGTCTATCTATATTATCTGTCTATCTATATTATCTATCTATGTTTTCCATCTGTCTATATTATCCATCTATTTTTATTATCCATCTATCTATATTATCCATCCATCTGTCTTATCTATCTGTCTTATCTCATCATATCACATCTATCTTATCTTACCTTATCTCTTTTTCTATCTTATCTATCTATCTTATATATCTATCTTATCTATCTGTCTTATCTATCTATCTTATCTCATCATATCACATCTATCTTATCTTATCCTTTTTTGTGTTATATTATCTATATTGTGTATCTTATCTGTCTATCTTATCTTATCTTATCTGTCCTGTCTTATCTATCTCATCCATTCTATCTATCTTTTCTACCTTATCTGTCTTATCTGTCCTGTCTTATCTATCTTATCCATTCTATCTATCTTATCTATCTTATCTACCTTATCTATCTTATCTATCTTATCTTTCTTATCTATCGTATCTATCGTATCTATCTTATCTATCTTATTTATCTCATCCATCTTATCTATTTTATCTATCTTATCTATCTTATCTATCCTGTCTATCCTATCTATCCTATCTATCCTATCTATCCTATCTATCCTATCTATCCTGTCTTTCCTATCTATCCTATCTTTCCTATCTATTCTAATCTGTTCTAATTTGTTCTAATCTGTTCCAATCTGTTCTAAGCTGTTCTAATCTGTTCTAATCTGTTCTAATCTGTTCTAATCTGTCTAATCTGTCTAATCTGTCTAATCTGTCTAATCTATCTAATCTATCTAATCTATCTAATCTATCTAATCGAATCAAATCCAATCTAATCCTATCTAATCTATCTAATCTTATCTAATCTATCTAATCTAATCAATCTATCTTATCTTATCTCATCTTATCTTATCTCATCTCATCTGATCTTATCTTATCTTATCGTTCTTTCCATCTATCTATCTAGCTATCTACCTATCTATCTATCTATCTATCTGTCTATCTATCCATCTATCTATCCATCCCATCCCATCCCATCCCAATCCATCCATCTACCCATCTCTCTCGTTCTCCGTATACATATACTTTGTAATATTGGTTGCTATCCATTTACGATTGCTGGGATGCACGTCTAAACATATAGCTACCAGCTACGATACCAACCTGTCCAGAGAAAAAAGCAATGACACCATGAAATGACTCCTTTGTGGGGCACTGTAGTCTAATTCAAGACATAGCAAGGATGTTTCGAGAAACATCGCAACACCGGTAAAAATCTGTGAGAAATCATCCCAACATCTGAGAAATTGATCAGAATTGACATGAATTCACCAAGGGTCGTCCTACTCGTTTCCGAGGACATGGACCGATTGGTCTCCAGTGCCTCGGAATCCCCTTCTGGAAAGCCGCGGCACAGCGTGTCCACCGACGAGGAGATGGAACATGATGGGCTTCCATGAAGATATGGGGGTCAAATGGGGTCAAAACCTATTTTTTTGCAGGTAAAATGAAAGGTTTGACGGAGTAAGTCACAACCAAGGCAGCAGCGAGATTGGGCTCTTTTTCTGTTGATCGCGTGGGTCTGTATGGGGTGACCTGATTGGTCAACCCCTGTGCCACGTAGGCACAGCTTGAGGGAAAAAGGGCTACGGTGTCAGAAGTGACATGCTATGTTACATCAAATCCTAACACCCCGCCACAGCTGGAGTCGTATTCGTCGTATTCTACATCTGCTTGGATTTGGCCTGATGGCTCAAGCCCTTTCGTTTGGCTCTGGCTAGTCAACCTTCGGGTGTAACCAAGCCTCTGTACATGTTTGGCACATCGACCATTCCTGCACCTCCTTGGTTCGTGCGAGGTGCCGGCAATCTTTTCTCAGATGCAACTTCGTGGATGATGGCCAGGGGAACAGTGAAAATACAATTGGGATCTTTTGTGTCTCCTTGCGGCCTCGGAGATAACACATCCCCCAAATGAAAAAGAAAACTGCGATCATAGTCAAAATGACCAGCAGGAAACCCTCCAGGGACAAAGTGTCCTTCTGGACCTCCAGCTCTTCTGTCAGAGGATCTCCTCTTCCAACTGGCAATTGGCTCAAGACACCGGCTAGAGCCACCAGCTTTCCAATTGGAATGTTCCCCCAATTCATTGATGGCTCCATGTTCGTCCAATGGTCCGCTCCCCGCCATTTCACACAGCTCTTTGATTCGTGCCTTTTGAAGCACTTTTGTTCCCAGGTCAGCTTGGTTCTGTTGACCTATGATCCAGCTCATGACCAGCCGTCCGTCATAGAGTAGGTCCTGCAGCCACAGCACCTGGGTTTCGAGGTGGCGGATCTTGCCCCAAGACGGTGGCGGACAGCATTGTTGGCTGACCTACCCGTGATGGCTCGGAGGCCCAGCAGCCATGGGCTGCACTTTTGCACTTCCTCGTTGCTTTGTCTCCGGCCCAGTCGCTGTCCGTGTAGACAATTGGGGTCATCGGCGCCGTCCCAATCACACGGAAAGTGGATTCCAAAACCTCTTGTCTTCAGGAGATATCGGGTCAGGTGCTTTGACGCTTCCAGGGCCGCCTTTGTTGGCTTGGACATGGCACAGGCCAGTTTATTCACCGTGATCTGCACATCTGGCCGATCGTTGGCCAGGTACATCAAAATGTCCGTGATATGCCTCTGTAGAGAGCGACCTCTTCTTGGCTCAACTCGGGCGAGTCAGCCATAGTTGACAGATCTTTGGTCTGTGGCGTATATCCCTGCTGGCTGACTCGATGTTCAAACCGGTCAGCTCGAGCAACTTCTTCAGGCGGGTGTCACCTGGCGTGATCCACACTCCCTGTGGCGTGATCACACGCTTCCTTTTCAGATGCACAAAGCTGTTTCCAACTCGGAAAGGACCTTCCAGGGCACGCTCATCTTTCCATTCCACAGGTGGGTCCACATACACCTCCTCATCTTCTTCCGCATGGAAAAAGGCGCATGTGACGTTGCCAATCACTGCCCCTGACCCCTTGGCCAAGAGCCCATCCAGCATCCTGCCAGTGTCGGCAGACGAAGTGACCCAAATAACTCATACGGGTCCTTCCATTTGAATTCTCTGGTGACAAAGCGGGATCGGACAATCCATTGGCCATCCTTGTATTTTGGCACTTCCTCCCACCTTGTGGTTATATACTTCTTTCCCTTCGTGTCCTTCTTTGGGGCTGGCTTGTACACTTGATAGTAGTCTAAGTTTTTCAGCTCCTTTGCTTTTCCCTTTGGCTTTCTGCGCGCCACCTTTCATTCTGCCAAGTGTCTGGATGATCATGACTCTGGAGACCAGAGTGGTCCTTCGTCAGAGCCTCCCAAGCTTCAGAAGGAAGCTCTGGTGCGGACTCATCCAAGTGCTCAGCTCGCACTTCTGCGGTGGCCGAAAGCACAGATCCAGATGCTCCAGTTGACCCAGGACTTCATTCGGTCGCCGTTTCGATCCAGATGATGGGCTGCATCACGCTTTTGGTAGGTGAGTCAGGTCCTTCTGATCCTCTCACCACTGGTCGTCTCCCTGGTGACGCTGGGGCAGTGAGAGCCGGCTGGCTACTCCCGCCATGCCCTTCACCTGGGCGTTGTGGTGGCTCAGTCACCTCCTCCTGTGCTTCCTGGTTTTCTGGAGTTGTCGGCGCATTGTCGAGCGCTTCCCCAGGCGTCTCGAGGCCATCTCCTTTCCTGATCACCTCCGGCGCAGGCACCGCCAATCGCATCGTGATCTTTTCTGGTTTGGCTCGGGGAAGAGCACCTGCCGTCACATCCCAAGGGACTCCTTTCAGCCCCAGCAGTAGCTCCCTGTCCGACCGGAGCAACCTGCGGATTGTGCGGCAGCGATACACCCCTGCCGTCGTGGGAACAAGGTGTTCATCACTCTCTTCTGCCCGTCCCAGCCAGGCTCCAGCGTCCATCTTCTGATGACGCAAAATCAAAAAAATTGCTCTTTTTGGATCCGACTTTTCGTCGATTTTGAAACGAGCTCAATTTAATCCCAATCGGACTCTACTCTGAAAAACGTCTCTCTGCCATCCTTTCCTCTCCTTTTTTCTTGCGTTTTCTATTCGCTTTCCTTTTCACATGGGCCAAACCGCCAAGCAACAGGCAGGCAAGCGGCAAAACCGAGCCACGAAGCAGGTACAAGCACGAAGCGGCACGGAGACAGCCACGCCACCAAGCACAGGCAGGCAGGAGAGCCAAAACCGAGCCACGAAGGCAGATGCAAGCAAGACACGGCACGAAAACGAGCCAAACCACCAACTACAGGCAGGCAAGCGGCAAAACCGAGCCACGAAGCAGGTACAAGCACGAAACGGCACGGAACCAGCCAAAGCGCAAAGCACAGGCAGGAAAGCGACAAAAAGAGAACCACGAAGCAGATACAAGCACCAAACCGCAAAAACGAAGCCAAAGCGAAAAGTACAGAGAAAAAACCGCCAAAAACGAACCACGAAGCAGATACAAGCACCAAACCGCAGAAACGGAGCCAAAACGAAAAGTACAGAGAAAAACCGTCAAAAATCTCAGACTCTCTCTCAGACTCTCTCTAAGACTCTCTCTCAGACTCTCTCTCAGACTCTCTCTCAGACTCTCTTTCAGACTCTCTCTCAGACTCTCTTTCACACTCTCTCTCAGAGTCTCTCTCACACTCTGTCTCAGACTCTCTCTCAGACTCTCTCTCAGACTCTCTCAGACTCTCTTAGACTCTCTCAGACTCTCTCAGATTCTCTCAGGCTCTCTGAGACTCCTTCAGACTCTCTCTCAGACTCTCTCCCAACCTCTCTGAGACTCTCTCAGACTGTCTCAGACTCTCTCAGACTCTCTCTCAGACTCTCTCTCAGACTCTCTCACAGACTCTCGCAGACTCTCCGAGACTCTCTCAGACTCTCTCTCAGACTCTCTCTCAGACTCCGTCTCAGACTTTCACAGACTCTCTCAGACCCTCTCTCAGACTCTCTCTTAAACTCTCTCTCAGACCCTCTCTCACTTTCTCTCTCAGACTCTCTCTCAGACTCTCTCTCAGACTTTCTCTCAGACTCTCTCAGACTTTCTCAGACTCTCTTTCACTCTCTCTTGAGACTCTCTCAAACTCCCGACTCTCTCTCAGACTCTCTCAGACTCTCTCTTAAACTCTCTCTCAGACCCTCTCTCACTTTCTCTCTCAGACTCTCTCTCAGACTCTCTCTCAGACTTTCTCTCAGACTCTCTCAGACTTTCTCAGACTCTCTTTCACTCTCTCTCAGACTCTCTCAAACTCTCGACTCTCTCTCAGACTCTCTCAGACTCTCTCAGACTCTTTGAGACTCTCTCAGACTCTCTCAGACTCTCTCAGACTCTCTCTCTCTCTCTCTCTCTCAGACTCTCTCTCAGGCTCTCTCTCAGACTCTCTCTCAGACTCTCTCTCAAACTTTCTCTCAGACTCTCTCAGACTCTCTCAGACTCTCTCAGGCTCTCTCTCTCAGACTCTCTCTCAAGGTCTCCCAGACTCTCTCAGGCTCTCTCACAGACTCTCAACAGCAACATCAACAACAACGGCAACAACAAGAAGACCACCACCACCACCATCATCATCATCATCATCATCACCATCATCATCATCATCATCATCATCATCATTGTCACCATCATCATCATTGTCGTCATCATTATCAACATTATCGTCATCACTATCATCACCATTATCGTCATCACCATCACCATCAACATCATCATCATCATCATCATCATCATCATCATCATCACCGTCGTCATCATCATCATCATCATCTTCTTGATCATCCCGAAGATGCCGCCTGAGCCGTCTACGTTCTGAACCTTGACTTCGTTGACCCTTGACCTTCTGAACCTTGAACTCTCACATTCATTTTCAAACCCGCCGTAGCAAGCAGGAACGGCAAAAAAAGAGAATTTTTCGACTTGCCCGGGGAAGCTCGCGAAGCGAAACCTGCGTGCTACTGAGGGTTCAGGGTGTCAAACGCAAAATCGAAAAAATTGCTCTTTTTGGATCCGACTTTTCGTCGATTTTGAAACGAGCTCAATTTAATCCCAATCGGACTCTACTCTGAAAAACGTCTCTCTGCCATCCTTTCCTCTCCTTTTTTCTTGCGTTTTCTATTCGCTTTCCTTTTCACATGGGCCAAACCGCCAAGCAACAGGCAGGCAAGTGGCAAAACCGAGCCACGAAGCAGGTACAAGCACGAAGCGGCACGGAGACAGCCACGCCACCAAGCAAAGGCAGGCAGGCGAGCCACGAAGGCAGATGCAAGCAAGACACGGCACGAAAACGAGCCAACCCACCAACTACAGGCAGGCAAGCGGCAAAACCGAGCCACGAAGCAGGTACAAGCACGAAACGGCACGGAACCAGCCAAAGCGCAAAGCACAGGCAGAAAAGCGACAAAAAGAGAACCACGAAGCAGATACAAGCACCAAACCGCAGAAACGGAGCCAAAACGAAAAGTACAGAGAAAAAACCGCCAAAAACGAACCACGAAGCAGATACAAGCACCAAACCGCAGAAACGGAGCCAAAACGAAAAGTACAGAGAAAAAACCGTCAAAAAATTCAGACTCTCTCTCAGACTCTCTCTAAGACTCTCTCTCAGACTCTCTCTCAGACTCTCTCTAAGACTCTCTCTCAGACTCTCTCTCAGACTCTCTCAGACTCTCTCAGACTCTCTCAGACTCTCTCAGACTCTCTTTCACACAGCGGGCTCACTGCCGCGCAGCGGGACCGCACCGTGCAAGCCTTCTGCAGTTGCGGGGGCACTCGCATGAATCTGGTGCAGATCTTCCGGGCCCTTGCCCCCGGCGCTGCAGGGTCCCAGCTCCTGCGCAAGCTCCCACCGTTGGCACTGCAGCTCCTGCTGGACTACTGTGTGGAGCCGCGGGTCCTTATGGCCGACAGCTCGGCTGATGTGGGCATCGCGGATCTGCTTCGCACCCTAGAGTGCGTCGTGGCCACGGAGCCCATCTTGGAGGCTGCACAGTTCCAGCAGCTGGTGGGCCGTGTGTCCAGATTGGCGGTGGACATCGAAGACCGCGGGTCCGTGGCTGTGATTTGCCAAAGCAACGCGAAGACTTTGGATGAGTCCCTGCATCGCCATTTGAGCTACCAGCTCTCCTGAAAGCTGCGGATGCCGGGCGAACCACAGCCTGTGAGTGAGTGGAAAAGTATAAAAAAATAATGCTTGTGCGCGTTGATGCTTGCAGATCACGTGGTTATTGTTTTTTTTTGTGGGGTTGCGCATGCTTTGCAAGTTTGTCCGTGTTCAAGATCACATTTTTGTTGGGGCGGTTACGCCCACATGAACCACCAGAGGCTAATGTTGAAACAGACCCATCACTGGAATTCTTCAACTTGGCCTGACACAATGCCGCACGACTGCAGCCATTTTGACTTCAATCAAGCCCCGATTGCAGCCATGGACGCAAGTAGTGCAGCAGTGACAACTGTGTTACAGGCAAAACAAACTTATATTCTTTCATGTTTTTGGTCGTTGCCCATGGATGCCAGGCATTAGAGGGGCATGTGGCACCAACTTTGCGGTCAATGATGCACCTGGACGGTAACATCAGCATAACCCTCGAGGCAGGCTGGCTGCACAAAGGGAGCTTGTGTTCTTGCTGTTGTTTCAGGCAGATATGGAATTCTGGTACCTACGACAACTCCTCTGCTACGCCTTGCCAGCGTGGCAGATGGTGCTGGCCATGCCAAAGAAGACCCGCAAGGCCACATAACTCATGAAAAAAAAACATGTGGGATGAACTGTCTGCCAGGCAGGGTCCCATTTGGGTGCGGTTCGCCGGACCTACACTCCAGCTGCCGTGCAGAAGGGAGTCTGGTCCAGCTCCAGCGGCCTCGTCTACGGAGACCCTGGAAACGTTCGGGGCTCAGCGCAACCCCTCCGGCACGGCAGCATCCATTTGCCCGTATAACTGAGGCGGCTTACGCAGTGGTCTGGCACAAGTTGGGTCTTTCGAGCATGCTGCACTGCCCACACTCAAGTGCAGAGAGTTTGGGAGACATTCTGGAGGCCATGTAGCCTTTGAAGTAGATTTACCAACGTCATCAAGGCAGGATGCGACAACATTGGAAATTGCTGGCTGCTTTGCTACAACCCGCAGAGTCCCAGACCTGGCCACATCCTTAGGGTTGCAGCGTGTGCCCATAATTTCTTGAAGTCAGCAGTCAACCTAGGTTCATCCTATGTGCTGGTAAGTCTTACGGAACCGTACAATGCGAGGAAAAAGACTTTGTTGCGAGTGTGCAAGCCATCGTGCAAGTTGGCAAGTACACAACTTCTTACAAGAAAGCTGACGGGATGCCAGATCACTTGATGCTCCCAACTTGGTTCTGGTCCGTCCTCCGCGCTTGCGACGATGCGCGGGCATGGGTTCCATGAAGAGGACTGCATGTCTCCCCAAAAGGAACAACCTCCCTTCGGTATCGGCTCTGGCGCACTTGTGATCCAGCTTGACATGGAACCTGTTGTGGCTCCACGCAGCATGTCGGCACAACCATGGCCAGAGTGTCATGGCCATGGCCGTGTCCAACCGGCATCCATACTGTTGCTCCACGCAAGCCCGGACCCAGCCGTCGCACCGACTGAATGGCCCGTTCTGCCTTTCAAGGCAGAGGAGTACAACGGCCTCTGGTCAACTCGGACGAAGTGGGGCCAGACCGCATTTACTGCCTCAACCACAGTGGTCAGGGCTGGCTCGTTGTCGGCCCTCAACCTCAGCTGAGTGTGTCTCATAGGAACCTCACCAGCATTTCACAAATATATATGCTGCTTGATCTGGACGGGATTGCTGCCACATATCCCGTCTGGCTGTCAGTGACCAAACATTGCGTGAACCCTTCCGCAGCCTCTTTGTCTCCTTCTTCAGCAGGACTTCGAACCAGTCCATGCTAACCATTAAGGGCCGACCACTGAGGTGGCCTCTTCTTCCTTCGGCATGGATCGGTGTGGATTGTCCCGGGTACGCGACCTCAGACACACCTCACACCATGGGGCGAACGGAAGATGATTCAGGCTGTGTCTTTCACGCTCCTCATCAGATGGCTGGATCGGAGTTGGGATATCAACCGGTATTCGCACAAATTCAGGGTCGCAATAGATCGTGACCGAAGCTCTTCTCTTCGTCATGATCCTCTCCTTCGGGTCCTTTTGGCCGAGCACCGGCCCCTCCGACAACCGCAGTGGCTCAGCCGGTGGTTCCGCCCGTGACTTTCCAGGCTCCTTTGATTCCCTCTTTTGTTGATCCGACACCTTACAACCTGCACATTCACACACGGTTTCATCACTGGAAGTCCACTGACAGACTTCTCGACGTGAGATATTGTGGTCCTGCCTTCACCCAGTCTTCTCCAAGCCGAATGCCGCGCGTTCCGTGGTACAGGACATCCAGCTCGTTTGCTTGGGTGGATCGTGTGATCGTGATGACTAGCGGTCCGTCCCAGGCTTCGGTGGTGGAGGACTCGAAGGCTTGGTCACTCCTTCCCCAACCGTCTCTGGTTGATCCACACGTCCCTCTTCTTGGGTTCCGGCCGTGAAGGGCCTGGATCAGCTTCGGATTCTTCGCTCTCAGTGAGCGAGGCCTCCTTCACGCCTTTCTGTTTGACGCTTTCCTTTCTGCGCCGAGACCTCGACTCCTTGGTCCACTCCGAGGCGACCTGTCCGACCGTTCTGCCTCCTGCGGCGTCTCAGGCCAGCTTTCTGGGCTTTGTTTCAGATGTGGCCGAAACTTCACCACATCATTTTCCAACATAGTTGGCATTTCTCCTTTGTTGCCGTTTGGTTACTTTGGCCTTGCTCGTCTTTGCCCTTTGCTTTGCCGTCTTTGCCTCCTTTGCCCTTGCCCTTCGGGCTCTGCTGGCCTTTGGCCCAGCACTCCCCGTTGTGGTTCTTGCCACAGTGCTTACAAAGAGGTTTATATAGATAGATCCCTTCGGGCCCTTGCCTTTCCCCTCTTTCATTTGCACGTGGGAATAGTCCCGCTATAGATTGCTCCAGGCTTCAGGGCTTGGAAGCTCCGATCAGCAACTTCATATTCCGTGACTGCTTCTTGACATGCTGGTATGTGGTCCCACCCTTCACCAACAGTGTAGCATGGACCTTGAGCTCAGGTGGAAGCAGTTTCCTCAGAGTTGCGACCTTTAGGTTCTCACCCAACTTCTCATTGGATGAAACCTCATAGTCCTCAAAGGGCCGTTCAATGGCCAAGATCAAATCCCGAAGTGGAGTCCCCTTAGGAGGCTCGGGGATGGACAAAATTGTCTCCAGCAGCCCAATGGCAGCTGGCCCTGAAGCTGGCTCGATCTCCTTTTGGATCGCATGGCCTCAAACCCATTTGAGATCTGGGCCAACAGAGACGTCCCTTGACCAACCCTGAAAGGAAGGCGTAAAGAGACTCCGATATGATACAACATATATATATATACTATATATATATATATACTATATATATATATATATATATTTACAACTTCCCAAAAACTACCCCGACTCATAGCCATCGCCACGGCAGGAGTCCAAGACCTCTAGCCGGATGTCGAATGGCGCGAAGGGAACCTCCCAGTCTCTGAAACCGCAGCCGCTTGGAAGATCAGCCATGGTGAAGGGACCATATGGCTGTGAAAATCGTCATTTTCTGGTATGGGGGTTTCTTAAGTCATGGGTATACCCCCAAGTCGTCCAAGTCATGAGCGACCATGACTTCGTATTGAATCCTATGGTGACTTGGGGATCCACCATTTTAAGAAACCCCCATATGGGAAGATGAGAATCTATTGGATTTAGGCTAGCCTATTTGACAAAGCCATAATTATGACTTTTTCCCGAGAGCGTCTGAGCGCAGGGTTCTTCCAATAGTGGGGGTCTGTAAAACATCTTCTCATCTTCACATCTCATCTTCACATCCTCTCATCTTCACATCTGCTCATCTTCACACCTTCTCATCTTCACATCTGCTCATCTTCACATCTGCTCATCTTCACATCTGCTCATCTTCACATCTTCTCATCTTCACATCTGTTCATCTTCACATCTGCTCATCTTCACATCTGCTCATCTTCACATCTTCTTATCTTCACACCTCTGCTCATCTTCACATCTTCTTATCTTCACATCTTCTCATCTTCACATCTGCTCATCTTCACATCTGCTCATCTTCACATCTGCTCATCTTCACATCTTCTCATCTTCACATCTTTTCATCTTCACATCTGCTCATCTTCACATCTGCTCATCTTCACATCTTCTTATCTTCACACCTGCTCATCTTCACATCTGCTCATCTTCACATCTGCTCATCTTCACACCTTCCCATCTTCTCATCTTCACATCTTCTCATCTTCACATCTGCTCATCTTCACACCTGCTCACCTTCTCTCTCATGCCTTCTTTTTATCTTTCTCTCTTAAGGCCGAGGGTGGTGCCGGCGGCGAGTCACGAAACGTCAACCCTTTCGCACGAAATGAGGGCCGATCGGCAAAAACTGAGGTAAAATTGCGATTTTACTTGTGCCGGAGCAACCCTTTCGCACGAAATGAGGGTCGATCGGCAAAAACTGAGGTAAAATTGCGATTTTACTTGTCCTGGAGCAACCCTTTCGCACGAAATGAAGGTCGATCGGCAAAAACTGAAGTAAAATTGCGATTTGACTTGTCCCGGAGCAACCCTTTCGCACGAAATGAGGGTCGATCGGCAAAAACTGAGGTAAAATTGCGATTTGACTTGCCCCGGAGCAACCCTTTCGCACGAAATGAGGGTCGATCGGCAAAAACTGGGGTAAAATTGCGATTTTACGTGTGCTAAAGCAACCCTTTCGCACGAAATGAGGGTCGATCGGCAAAAACTGAGGTAAAACTGCGATTTGACTTGTCCTGGAGCAACCCTTTCGCACGAAATGAGGGTCGATCGGCAAAAACTGAGGTAAAACTGCGATTTTACTTGTGCCGTTCTTGTCTGTGTGTAAAAGCGCCTGTGTGTAAAAAGCGTCTGTGTGTAAAAGTCTCTGTGTGTAAAAGCGTCTGTGTGTCAAAGCGTCTGTGTGTCAAAGCGTCTGTGTGTAAAAGCGTCTGTGTGTAAAAGCGTCTGTGTGTAAAAGTCTCTGTGTGTAAAAGCGTCTGTGTGTCAAAGCGTCTGTGTGTCAAAGTGTCTGTGTGTAAAAGCATCTGTGTGTAAAAGTGTTTGTGTGTAAAAGTGTTTGTGTTCAAGTGTTTCTGTGTAAAAGCCTCTGTGTGTAAATGTGTTTGTGTGTGAAAGCGTTTGCGTGTAAAAAGCGTCTGTGTGTAGAGGTTGTCTGTGTGTAAAAGCGTCGGTGTGTCAAAGCGTTTGTGTGTAAAAGCGTCTGTGTGTAAAAGTGTTTGTGTAAAAGTGTTTGTGTGTAAAAGCCTCTGTGTGTAAATGTGTTTGTGTGTCAAAGCGTCTGTGTGTAAAAAGCGTCTGTGTGTAAAAAGCGTCTGTGTGTAAAAGCGTCTGTGTGTAAATGTGTTTGTGTGTCAAAGCGTCTGTGTGTAAAAAGTGTCTGTGTGTAAAAAGCGTCTGTGTGTAAAAGTGTTTGTATGTAAAAGCTTCTGTGTGTAAAAGTGTTTGTGTAAAAGTGTTTGTGTAAAAGTGTTTGTGTAAAAGCCTCTGTGTGTACATGTGTTTGTGTGTGACAGCGTCTGTGTGTAAAAGGGTCTGTGTGTAAAAGCGCCTGTGTGTAAAAGCCTCTGTGTGTGAAAGTGTTGTGTGTAAAAGTGTCTGTGTGTAAAAGCGTCTGTGTGTAAAAGCGTCTGTGTGTAAAAGTGTTTGTGTGTAAAAGTGTTTGTGTGTAAAAGCGTCTGTGTGTAAAAGCGTCTGCGTGTAAAAGCGTCTGTGTGTAAAAGAGTTTCTGTGTAAAAGAGTTTCTGTGTAAAAGTGTTTGTGTGTAAAAGTGCCTGTGTGTAAAAGCGTCTATGTGTAAAAGCTTCTGTGTGTACAAGCATTTGTGTGTAAAAGCAACTCCTGTGTGTAAAAGGGTCTGTGTGTAAAAGTGTCTGTGTGTAAACGTATCTGTGTGTAAACGTGTCTGTGTAAAAGCTTCTGTATGTAAAATCTTCTGTGGGTAAAAGCTTTCTGTGTAAAAGTGTCTGTGTAAAAGCTACTGTGTGTAAAAGCTTCTCACTATTTGGTCTTGATACTCCTCTTCTCGACTGCCTATAACACATCTTTCATACATCGTTTCTAAAATTGCGTCTCCATACTAACAAGAGAAGACCCTGCTCTTCTACGCTCTCGGGCCATCCGTCGTCTAGTTCAATGAAGATCGGGGATTTAAAAATTGAACCCTGGGATTTAGCAAGCGAAAATGCGACTCCCTACGGGTTGATTTCAAGGAACAAGTGATGGGAAAACATCATGGATTTTAAATGAATTTTAAGGACACACGTAGGGGGCTGCTTTAAAGCATTAGAATCTTTAGAATTTCCCTTAAATCTTGAAGCCCTCAACAGTTTTGGTTGACAGATTGGTGTGAACCTAGTTGGAAAAGCACAAATCAAAGAAAACGGGGAGATGAATCACTTTTATATCATTTGGTAGATGATCTGGTCATCAATACTCAGAAAGCGTCCAAATCAGATGCCAGCAGTACCGGTTGAGCCAAGTTGCCTGTAAGACTGAGACAGAGATTGGTTGGTCGGGGAAATTCGACAGAAACCTCTACATTTTTCATTGGATGCGCAGTGGTTTCTGTTGTTTTCTCGCTGCTAGATCAGCCCCTGCTGACTGGGGACCAAAAACAATCGAGAAGCCCATAGCTTCACTTGCTGCTTATTACTCTACCCCTCATTTCCAGAAAAATATCACCCATTTCAACTGCCTTCCGTTTCCTCCCATCTCACTTGTTGGAGGCCCTAAGGGGCACGTTGCCGGCCATAGGCATCACCTCCAGCGAAGTCCCACTGTGGCCAGGGTGATGTGTCATCACCATGGGGATCTGAAAGAAATGAATGCGAGTTGCTTGGGCCGCAAGGCCTACGCCGGTCCGCCGGTCAGCCAAGTGATGACCTGAGAAATCTTCTGGGGATATATATATATATATATAGTGGAATACCGGGGAATATCATATATACTATGGGGATATAAAGCCAAAAATAAACATCAAAACATGGGACTATCATGGAAATATCATCTGGATGAATTATAACGACCCCACGTTGTGACCTGGAATGGTGGTTGGTAGGGGTAGCTCTCCCAAAATGACCACATATTTTAGAAATTTGGGTTGGTGGATGATCATTGTTCATCCAGAATGATGATCAGTAAGTAAGGGGAGTATCTTGAATCAGACTGGGAATATAATATATATATATATATACACCCTCCGGCAATCAAACGTGGCCAGCTGGAAAATCCCCGAACTCATGAAGGTTTGGTTCGCTGGGGACATCCTCGAACTATAGCTGGTGGATTTTCCAGCTAGCCATGTAGCTGGTTACCGGAGGGTATATCCATTATATCCCCATAATATTCCCACTAGTCACTATATTCCCATAATATCCCCATTATATTCCCATGATATTCGCAATATATTCCCATGATATTCCCATTAGATTCATTAGATGTCTACAATCTTTGACATATTAAACTTTGAAGACTTTGAGTTGGACATGGGTGAAGTGTTCAACTTCGGCTTGTGACAAGGGATGGTCCAAGGCTTGAATTTTTTTTGGGGTTCCGGAGCAAAAACACACGTCGTGAATGAATAAGAAACACATGTATATAAGCCAGAAGGCCACCAGTTAACTGGAAAAACGTGAAGGCATGTCACGGAACCAGTGACCACCAGAAAGCAATCACTCAATTCTATTGTCAGGCTTGCACTTTGATCCGGGGGTGGTGCCGCTCATATCTTGAGATATGAGAGGATTTCGAACTAAAAAGAGAGGTAACCCCCACTGATAGTCGAGTTGACTGTTTGCATGAGTCGACTGAATTTGAACGGTGGCTGTTTCGGCTAATAGTCTTGATTTTCGAATGAGCCTTTGCGTCAAGTGCCGCGCCTGCCCGCACCTTGACCGAGATACCTGGTGCCTTGGTTGTTCCGCCTGGGAGGTGACAGGGAAAGAATTCGCCAGCTGGTGGTCCGGCCCACGATCAGGTAGTCAATCTCGCACGGGAAATCCGTCCTCAGGGCCGTGGGGGCTGGCTTGGGCCGCGCCTCTGGTGGACCGGGTGCCGGACCCCAGGGTGAGGTTGACACCGCCGCTGGCAAGGAAGCCAAGCGTAAGAAACCACCAAACTTGCAACCCAATGCACGAGCTGAAAAAGCTCCACACTCGGAGTACTCACACGAGTATGAGACTGACGAGGAAGAGGAGGAAGAAGAAGAGAGGTCAGCCCCAGCGAGGCCAGACAAGAGAGGTGAGGGAGGAGGAGAATCGAGAAGTGAAAGGAAGTCTGAAGTCAAGAGAGAAGACAAGAGTGAGGAGAAGAGAAAGGACACGAAAGAAAGAGAAAGAAGTGAGAGGAGATCAGAAGAGAAGGGCAAGAGAAAGAGAGAGGCTGAAGAAGGACGAGGAGTAAACGCCGAGAAGAAGAAGAAAGGCAAAAAGAAAGGAAAGACAAGAAAGAGAGGAGGAAGAGAAACAGAATGCACTGGTTGACTGAGGAGGTACTTGGACGATAGTCATCTTGTTTCCAGGCCAGAGCTAGAAGGACGGCCTGGGAAAAGGAACTCTGGGCAGAAGTTGAAACTCCCCGAGGCACTGAGGAGGGGGAGCGGGGCAACATTGTTGACTCGGAGAGATGACAACTCTTGACACCCGCGAGGTTGGGGATGTGTTGGAGTTCGAGACTTCTATGGTCCTCGAAAGTGCGGGCTATGCCTGCATGATCCTGACAGAAGTCGACGCAACGGCGAGCCATGGGATCCGCATGCAAGGGCGGTTCCTTGGCAGCGACAACAAGCTGACAAATCAGATCAATCGCAGAAAAGTCCCCCTTCATCTTTGCTGGGAGACTCCCTGTGGATACTCTTTTGTCGAGGGCTGACACCGGCCAGGCAAGGTGGTGGAATGCCGAGACTTTTGCGGTCCCTATTTACAGCCCTGCGGGAAGCTGGTCCTCCAGGAGTTCATCAACAAAGGCAACGGAGAGGAAGAAGAAGCTCCGCCGGCAAGGCGGCCTGGCAGAGACAAGGGAAAATCCAAGCGGCCCGGGGGAGTTGGCAAAGGTGCCGTGCCCCCTTGGCGCCCCGCTGCCAAGGCGAAGAAGAAGCCACGCGCAGAGGATGGCGACGATGCCAGACGCGCTGGGCTGCAGGAGAAGTTGGCCCGCCTGCGCCGGCGACTGCTGGGTACAGAAGAAGGGAAGGAAGAGAAGGTTATCGATGTGGAGGAAGACGAGGACGTGGCTGCAGAGGAACAGGAGTTAGACTCTGTGGAGGAGGTGGGCAGACTTCCCACCACTGCATTGGCATTGGAGGACAAGAGAGACGATGGAGAGTCCCAGGCGGGCAGGAAGAAGAGAGAAGAGACAGAAAGAGAGAAGGAACGGAAAGGCAAAGGCATTGGTGAAGTTGCTCGAAGGAAAGCAAGAGAAAAAGAAGAAGAAAGAGAAGAAATGCAAGAAGAAGAAGAAGAAGAGGGTGAAGAAGGAGTCGCCCTCAGGAGACTCCTGCCCAGGCTCATCAGGCCCGAGTTCTCCAGCTCAGAGATGCTGGCACCTCTCCAAAAGCGCTCGGCAAAGAGGCCGGGCACAGTCCTGAAGATGCTGGTGGATCACTCGCTGGTTTCGACCGGTGGGGGCCGCATGACGGCACGGGTGAAGTTGACAAGTTACTTCAACCTCGTGATCAGGCCGTACCACCAGAGCAGCAGCAGAGACATGAAAGAACTGCACCATCTCGCTGTCGCTTTAGACGAGCTGAGAGGTGGACAGTTGGGGCAGCTCGGGGACTCTCTGGCCGCGAGATTCTTGGCAACTCATACGGCAGTAAACGAGGGCCACTGGCGCTCGGCCCAGTTTTTGGAGATACATCCGCTGGAGCCAGCTGCTTGAGGCGCAGAAGCACGGCCGGCAGATTGCCAAAAGCCGAGGCCAAGACGATTGGAGAGGTCGGCACCAGGACTGGGATGGTTGGAGAGGATCAAACAAAGGAGGAGAAAACAAAGGCAAGGGCAAGACAGGAAAAGGCAAAGAAGGAAACAGAGGCTGGCGTCAGGATTCAGAGCGAAGGAAAGGGACAATGGCAGTCTCAGAAGTGGAACAAACAGTGGTGGACACAGCAGCAGGAGAAGCCCGACGGGAAGGAGAAGCCGGGCGACAAGGAGGCCAGGAAGGGCGAGAAATGACTCAGAAGAAGAGCCGTTCGACGAATGAGCTCTCTCGTGACCCTCCCGTCACCAGGCTTGGCTCCTCAAGATGCTATACGCGGATCTGCAGTTGGAGAAGTCAGTGACTTCGGAGGGGGGCTCTGGCAGTACCATGGCATGGGGCAAGGAGGCAGACGTTGATGTTTCTTTGTATCGATTTGCCATACCTGAGATGACACAGTTTTTTGCACTTGATTTGCCTTTTCGATGCAAAGACTGGAAACGATTGAGTGTGACTGTCGATCAAACTTTTGATGCAGAAAGCGGATGCCATATCCGGCCAGATGCTGAGCTCGTGTTGTATCCGTGCTTTCGTGTTGTACCAATGGGTCGAATTGGGCACTGTTTTTGTGCCATGAGGCTGTGGTCCGTATTGCTTCTTCGAACTCCCCATGGAATGATGGGATCCTGCGTGAGAAGAAACCGGTGCCTCAACTTGCAAACCACAGAACTGTCATTGGCGTTTACGTTGGACAATATCACCGTCTTAGGGCGTAAACATGATGATGTGTCGTTGAGATGTGATGCCCTCCAGAAGGCTTTTGATGATGCTGGAATTCCGGTATCGCGCCTTGGGGCCTCTCGGTTTTGCAGAACACCTACCGTTTCATTCAGAAGGCGCTTGATGGTAAGATCAAAGTATGGTCTTCAGTGAGACACGAGATGAAGCTCTCTGCATCTTTAGTTTGGATCACTTGGAGATCACTTGATGCTCCTCTCATTGTGACAGTCGAAGTTGAGGACTCTGCCACCTCTGGTTATGCCCTGATGTCTTGCCAGCCTGAGGTTTCAATCATCCAACGTGCAATTGCGGTACAAGAAAAGTGGAGGTTTATTCCCCTGCCAGAAGAGCTGAAGAAACATGCAGCCAATCAAGACCTTGAGGGATTTACCTCTTCCCTTGAGGACATGTTTGAAAGACCACCCGGCAATGTTGATGCTTTTGTTCCGGCAGCACTCTCGACCGAGTGCGCATCATTTGTGCTTGACGCCTTCCGTGAAAAATCTGACCTGGAAACCAGCGCAGTGACTTCGCAGGCTAGAGCTAGCAGAGCTGACCGTGTAGATATAGATGTCCCTGCATTGATTGAGCCACTAGATATAGTTTTTTTGAGAATGAAGATAACTTCCGTTTGCTTTGGTCCAGGCGGTGGAAGAATGTTTCTGAACACATCACCATCAAAGAAGCCAGGGTTTTGTTATCTTCACTTAAACGTTCGTCAAGGGTCCAGTCATTGCACTGGCATAGAAAACTTGCGGTCAGTGACATCCTTGGCGCGGTGTGTGTCTTTTCAAAAGGTAGGTCGGGTAATGGGAAGGTTAACCTTTTGTGTCGTCAAGCTGCTGCACTCCAGTTCGCTACTGGCATCATTTGGCATGTTAGGCATTTAGAGAGAAAGAGGAATGTCGCCGACAAGCCGTCTAGAAGATTCGAAGCCCGGAAGCTGTTGAGAGAACCCCCAATTTATTGTCGGGAAGTTGTGAACCTGGGTAGTGGCCTGTCGAAGGAGGCTAGTGCTCCAAGCAAACCCCTCCAACCTCACCGCAAATTTGTTGAGAATGTTTTCCCATGCGGCGCCACCAAGTTTTTCCTCGAGATCTTCTCCGGGACCGGACGGCTCACTCGAGCCATCGAGGAGTCCGGCGTCTCAATTTTGGAGCCGCTTGATTACATACTCGGGCCACATGCTGACCTTAGAGGTAGGTCCACTCAAAAACTTGTTCTTGATTGGATAAAAAAGGGTAAGATAGGGTTTGTCCATGTCGGTACCCCTTGCACCATTTGGAGCCAAGCACGTCACAATGTGAAAGAGTCGCATGCCACTAGGTGCAAAGAAGAGATTGGTGTTGAGCTCGCCTTGTTTTCTGCAGAGGTCATTAGGACTTGCAACTGATGCCAAGTAGGATGCGCCCTTGAAAACCCATCTAGATCCAAACTTTTCAAGTTTGACCCCATAGTCCATGCCATTGCCTCAGGTGACAATGATGTTGTCGACTTTGATATGTGCCAATATGGGGCCCTAGAAAAAGTCTACTACTTTAATTACTTTACTTCGTGTGATCCCCACCATGACATTTATACATTTTCGTACTGGCAAATCTTCTGGCATTCTATCTGACATATCTTTTGGCATTCTATCTGGCATATCTTCTGGCATATGTTCTGGCATATCTTCTGGCATTCTATCTGGCAAATCTTCTGGCATATCTTCTGGCATTCTATCTGACATTGCATCTGGCATATTTTCTGGCATTCTATCTGGCATATCTTCTGGCATTATGACATATCTTCTGGCATTCTATCTGGCATTCTATGTAGCATATCTTCCGGCATATGTTCTGGCATATCTTCTGGCATTCTATCTGGTATATCTTCTGGCATTCTATCTGGCATATCTTCTGGCATATTATCTGGCAAATCTTCTGGCATTCTATCTTCTAACTTTCTTCTGCACATTCTTTGTCCCATATCTTCCTACATGAGGTCCGGCAGGGAACACTTGGCATGGATCCTCGCGGTTGAGGTCCGGCAGGGAACACTGGGCGTGGATGGTCGTGGTTCAGGTCCGGCAGGGAACACTGGGCCCGGATACTCGCGGTTGAGGTCCGGCAGGGAACACTGGGCGTGGATGGTCGTGGTAAAGGTCCGGCAGGGCACACTGGGCGTGGATGGTCGTGGTTGAAGTCCGGCAGGGAGCAGGAGGAGAGGAGACGAGAAGAGGAGACGAGGAGAGGAGAGGAGAAGAGAGGAGAGGAGGAGGAGGAGAAGGAGGACGAGAAGAGGGAGGAGAAGGAGGAGGACGAGGACGAGGAGGACGAGGAGGACGAGGAGGACGAGGAGGAAGCAACTGACATAAAATCTAACAACCCTCACCTGGCAGGTGGGGAATCACCTCGGTAAAATGGTTGAGCCCTCTCCGCCATAAGTGCTGCCATAAATCACATGCAGTTTGGCTCAAAGGTAAGATGCTAGCTCCTAACCCGGAAGGAACACCAGTGTATGTCAACCGCACTGCACTTGCTGGTGCCTACCCATTTAAGTTAGTTGAAGAATATGCGAAGCTAGTGAAACGCCATGCCAAGCTTGATAGACAGGCACACCAGGCCGAACAAGTCCATTAGGGAGCTGCGCTCCGGAGTGTTGCGTAACGGTCAGTTGAAGCCAACAAACAGTGGTCCAAGTCAGTTGAAGGCCACGAAGAAGTTGAATACAACCTACAGCTTCTCCAACAACATGGTGGACTTGAAAAGTTCAAACACTACATCGCCCCCGGCAGGGCGAAAGCGAAAGCGAATGAGGTGATGCCCGAACACCGACCAAAATCTAAGTATGAGACCATTCTGGCCGGCATTAGGCCCGAAAGAATGCTTAGAGTAAAGAGGGTTAGGCCTTCTACCCTGGTGTTGTATGACTCCCATGTCCAGCAGTTTTCAATGTGGGCCCAGCACAAAGAACGACACTTGCCTTCCTTGGCAAATGTCGATGGCAACCTATTTTAGTCTGCTTTTCGATGATGGTGTGTCTATGACTGTGGCATCATATACCTTGTTTGGTTGGATCACTCTCAAAACAGGTCCAGCATGTCCAGAGCGTGACCTTTTGCCTTTGTCCAGAGCAGCTCTCACAGCTTGGAGAGGCGCCAGAATTGCAAGAGGCAGGGTCGGGGTGCCACCACAGGTCATGTTGCCTTTGCTACCTTTTGCATCAAACATGAAGCCGTCTGGGCAGCGGCTGCTGTCCTTGTGCAGTACGATCTTTACGCTCGGCCACCAGAATCTTGGGTGTGACTGGCAGAGATAAGCGGCACTAGAGCACAGACCGTTTGCCCACTCTACCCTTGAACGTTTGGGTCGGAAGTTTTTGGATTTTGATTGGCCATTGTTTTCTGGCTCACTGTCTCAATAATATGAAGAGCTGCTCAGAAGCTTCTCAAAACTACATAAGTTGAAGCAAGGTTTTTTCACACCGCACTGCATTAGACACCCAGGTCCCAGCTATGACGCAATCCATGAGCTGCGGTCGATACAAGCCATTCAAGCTCGTGGCCGCTGGGCCTGCCAGGCCTCAGTTAGTCGGTACAAAAAAAACTGGAAGACAATTGCTTGAAGCATCCCGCCTGCCACCTAGACTGAAAGTAGGTAGCTCTTCGTTGGCGCATGATACTCTGACCTGTATCTTGAGCCATACATGGGACTAAAGTCCAGAATCCAATGTTTGGCAACTTTTGCAGTTTGTGCCTTGATAGCGTTTGCAATGAAGTTTGGTCAGCCTGACCGATATGCCAAGCCAACCTACCAATGCATCGATGATTGCGTTTGCAATGAAGTTGGGTCAGCCTGACCGATATGCCAAGCCAACCTGCCAATGCATCGATGATAGCGTTTGCAATGAAGTTTGGTCAGCCGGACCGATATGCCAAGCCAACCTGCCAATGCATCGATGCTCTCAACATGTTGCCTTTGCCTTTTCATCATGCCCTGCAGCACCATGGCTGCAGTGTGCCATTCGTTCACCATCATCCTCATTGCATGCTGGTTTACTTTTGACTCTTGGAGCAGAAAAAGAGTCACTGTGCGTCTGGGCTGGCGGAACGTAGCAATGAGCAACTTTCAGCAAAGCGATTGTTATCATGTTAGTGTGCAAGGCCCCATTTGATGTCACTCTCGAGTTCATCTTGGCCCTCCACCCCCACCACTCGGGGCCTTGATAGCGTTTGCAATGAAGTTTGGTCAGCCTGACCGATATACCAAGCCAACCTGCCAATGCATCGATGATAGCGTTTGCAATGAAGTTTGGTCAGCCTGACCGATATGCCAAGCCAACCTGCCAATGCATCGATGCTCTCCACATGTTGCCTTTGCCTTTTCATCATGCCCTGCAGCACCATGGCTGCAGTGTACCATTCGTTCACCATCATCCTCATTGCAAGCTGGTTTACTTTTTTGGAGCAGAAAAAGAGTCACTGTGCGTCTGGGCTGGCGGAGCGTAGCAATGAGCAATATATATATATATATAGAAATTCCACTTTTTGTGGATTACATTCAGAATCCATCAAAATCTACTCTTGTAATTTGTTCCAATCAACTGTTTTTTTTGGCAACGCCCCCGATTGTGTGATTGTAATTTCCACATGAAAATGCAAAACCATACCTTAAACGATAGTATTTGATGGCTAAACGGCTAAACTATCATTTTGATGGTTAAAGCACCTATTTTGATGGTCAGCCCCAAATTTTGCCTACTTTTGATAGTTTAACCCTATATCTGGCCTATTCTGGATTCTTGAACAATTCTTTTGATGGTTAAACTAAGGTAAAATTCTAGATGCCTTCGACATGCAAAAACTCTTGGAGAAAGACGACACAGATGCGCTCGACATCTACCAGGCCTGGGATGCGGTGTGACACAGGGATTTTCAAAGAGAGATACAGATCCATGATAAATCTATGATAAATGTATGATAAATCTTTGATAAAACGTTTTATCAATGGTAAACTGATAATGTATTATCAATATATTATTATCATATATATTCGGTTCATATAAATCTCACATCATATATTATATCAATCAATGGTACATTTTGGGACGTGGATGGAAATATATATATAAATAAAAAAATATGGTTTATAATGTTAGTAAAAAAATAATAAACCATCCCCAACTGTACCATAAATGGGTTGTATGAACCATGAAAATTTGGGTGATTTATTATTGCTTTACTAACATTATTTGGTTGGTGATTTACCATCCGGTAATTGTTTCTGATGGGAAAATCATGCAATAACACTCTGGCCCTCTGGTAATTCAATACATCCATGGCTAAATAGTCACCAGCTAATTATTATATAGTCCCCATTCACCATATGCAACCCGCTTCCCGCCCCAACCCACACCACAGGGATGGGGACACCATGAATACACTGCATACAGGTGTAGTGCACAACCACCTCCCACCCCAATCCATACCCACAGGGGGGTTGGGGGGATACCATGACCATGGGTGGAGGACGGGGGGCCCAGAACCTAGAACATACATGGGGGTTTATTAGGTCACGGGGATCCCCGAGTCACCAAGGGTTTCAATACTAAGTCATGGTCATCTATGACTTGATGATTCCGGGGTACCCCCATGACGAAACCTCCATATAATCTCGCCAAGTCGCTCCGTCACTTCTCGAGTCAGGACCCCCGTACATCGAAAAAGTTGCACTTGGCACCCTCGAAGACCAACGCTTCGCTACTGGGCTGTTGGATCTACTTGGAAGTGCAGTTCCAGTTACAAGTGGATATATAGCAATAGTTGTAGGGGTTATATCCCAACATGGGAGTTTATAACTATCGTTGTATCCATTTGTAACCTCAACTGCACCCGGAAGTAGGGTATAGTCTTGAGTTCATGGTCATAATTATAGGGGACATATGGGAAAATGCTGATGAACCGTCAGGTTTTGAGGGTTTTTTCCTATTCAATCACACCCAAAGAAAGGTAGTTCTACGTACTTCTCGAAATGCGAGAACCGCCAAACCCATCCCCCAAATGATGGATTATGAATGAAAAGTGATGCTTAGCCATGATCAACAGTTTACTTATAGACTGACCATCTGGAGCATTTCACCCCTGGAAGTTTTGGCCGAAAGATCAGAACGGCAACATGAAAGTGGAAAGTAGCTATGATTATAGTCCAGTGACAAATGGGAGGTTGAACCTTGGATGATTTGGATGGGTACTGTAGTCTAGTATGTATACTTTAATCATTATTCTATTGCTATAACTGTGTATACTGTATATATATATATACATACATATTTATACACTGACATGATAACCAGCTAAAAACACAATTTCAGGGCATCGAAGATAGGCCAGAAAAAACTACGGCAATAGAGACTTCTTCACGGCACCCAAGGCACTTGGGGCACAACCCTTGATGCAGGGTGAAATGGCTGGAAATCCTGATTTAGTTGGATTTTTTCCATGTTTCCATGTGTGATGACCAAAGGGTACTGTAGCAGCTAAGACTGACGGGCAATTTTTTTTTTCGCAGATCTAAGATTAGGCCGCAGTCATTGGCCAACAGCATGTCAGATATGATTTACCTCGTGTTATTCTCGAAATTCTGACTTCATCCATTGGAAACAATCGACATCACTACATGGGAAACATCAGCTTTATCCGCAGGTTTCAGACGTTTGATTGGGATGAGATGGAGGACGAGTCCTGTCTCACCAAACTTCAGGTCTTCATGTGACCTGGCAGAGATTCCGATTCTGCAGAGACCCCATTCACGACTTGAGTGGTGATTTTGAAGAGGTTTGCTTTCACAACTCTAGATTTTCATCCGCTTGTAGAACGCCCTAGAATTTTTGTGGCCTTTTTCGGGGCTTCGATCTTTTATCTTCCACATTTCCCACCAGAGGTTGCACTCAATTTGGCAAGGAATCAATAAAATGGGATTTCAAATTTGAGGATTTTATTCCCATACGTATCCTTTTTTCAAGTCCTGGACCGCGAATTTACCTGGCATGGAGTCAAGGTTTATAACATTTTATAACCAGTGCTTGCAAGAACTTCCATGAGACCGGGCCTTAGGGGGTCGCACCTCCATCCATTGTTGGAAATCCATACGTTTTTATCCCTAGATTGCGACATTGGGGAGATCCTTGTTGAATCACGATTTGTCGTCAAAGCTCAAATTCGGGTGAATTCGACCATGTTAAATCCCCATTGTTGTCCAATTCTGGTGAATTCGACCATGTTAAATCCCCATTGTTGTCCTATCCCATCCAGATTTAAGTGTTTTTCCGTCTTCAGGCAATCCACCCGCTACGAGTTCACCATCTCGATAGCGCCTCGGATCATTTTCCGCTCTGAGGTTTCAGAGCCACCAAACTGGAATAAGAAAAAGCCATGGGATTTTTTGACGAATTTGGGACATTTTGGCCTGATGAAACTATATGGTTGAACAAACATGTCCTGTTTTTCCCTGAAATCCCATGAAATCCCGAGAACGGCCCTGCCTCGACAGGTTCTGGCTCTGAACGTTCTGTGGATGGCCATTGAACTGGAGCTGGAGGGAACTGCTGCAGGCGATTAAACCATGGGATTTCACCAGTTTTTTTTAAAACCGTGCTTAGCCATGGAAAAATGATGGTAAACCATGGATTTAATGGGAAAATCATCGAACTAAATGTGGGAGAACTATAAGTTGGTTGATGAAAAAACCCATCTAGCTATAGTTATTTCACCACCACAGACTTTATTGAACTATAATATATAGTTATAGTTACAAAATGTTATAAACACTCTTAGCTAACGAACTGGGGCACCACTGACAGTGTCATTTGAGGATTTCTGGCAACCATTGTATATAGATGTGATCAAAGAATTTGATGAAGGGGGCCCCAAGCCATTTTAGTACAAACCGTACACAACAGCAGTTTCTACGTCGGATGTTCCAGTTCTGGAGCGAAACAGTTCTGGAGCGAAAATCACCGGTCTTGTGTAGCTGATTTTCAGCTACCAGCCAGTCACAACTCGCAAGGCGTTCCCTTGGGAATTTATGACAAAGGCATCAACGTCAGCGACTGGAACTGTGGCTGCAACGAAAGGTGGTTCGCACTCTGGTCTCGGTTAGGAGGATACAACGGTGTAATTTTTTCCCCCAAGAAGTCCCCACCACAAGATGAAGAAATTCAATATGAGTCAAACCTAAATATAGGTTTCTGGCAGATGTTTGTTATTTGTGGGAAGGGATTCCAGCCAGTTCAATGATGGGAGTCAGGTACAATAGCCG